TTGCAAAGCTATCACTTGGCATCAGGAACAGTAACCAATGTGGTGGTTAGTTTTGTTGAGCTATTTTGAAAAAATAGCTCATATGTCAGTGGTGTGAGCGTATGTATCTTTGTGGCTTTGTAACTTTGTATGTTCGGATGTTTGTTGCAAGAGCCAATAAGGTTGAAGGTACTATTAGTTGATGCTTAGGAACCAATGAGATCTTAGCATCTAGTTAAACATGACATTGGTAAAGGTCGAACAAGGGCACTTTGAGACCGCCATCTTGATCCTTCACAATTTTTTCGTCTTTTATTACGGGTATAGGTGTTTGGAAGCATTACATAAAATATCTTCATGATTCAAACGCTGTGAACAGTGATGCAACTGTTTAAGGGTTGATATTTAAGTGTGAATGCTGCTTCGAGGCATTTCTGACCTAATTCGGCTATCGGTACAACGCACGTCAGTGTGAGTTCTGTTTCACCTGCTACAACTGGGTAGAGTATAAAAGATCATATATTTTCAAATCTCTTCCAATGAAGCAATAATTGATATTTAGATATAGACTTTTATTCGAAAGTATGCGCCCTATAAAATGTGGTTTTAGAAGTTTAAAAGGCAGCTTATTTTTTTGAAAGCTGTATCGAGTATTGTTAATCCTGTAAACAAGCTTTAAAAATATTATTCTCTCGCTTACAAAGTTCAACCGACCTTTTTCGTTCTATTTAGTAAAGATGCGTAACTTAAGTAGAAACAGTGGCGTTAGGGAATAAAATTGGAGGAAGCTAGTTGACACAATAATCATGATATAAGTAGAAATATATTTCGGCAGTTTGATAATTTTCTTGGAAGTTAATAAATGTTAGGCTATCAACCTTGACCTTGCATGAAACATAATTTAATTGCAGATGTTGTAGTAAAGCCGAGGTGATTTCTTAAAATCGTTTAAGAAAATTTTGTAACATCTTCACATGCAAATTGTGTGCATGAGTTATTTTTATAATTCTGTTTACTAGATTACTGTGTGATAACTCGAATTCCCTCACGTACGAACGACGAAAGGGGGCAAAGTCCGACACTTTCACGTGCCAGCTGTGTGACTGTACATCACATGCAGATTGGCTTTTCACAATAATAATAGTAACTTGGACGTATGAAGACCTGTTTCATTTAGTAACCAATGCCTTAAAAAAGGCTCTTGTCTTTTAGGAAGCAATAGCTTTTAAAACATGACGAAATAAGTTGTCGGAGTTAAAGACCGTTTCACAAAATTTTGTTAATAAATGTTAGGTTATCAACCTTGACGTTGCATGAAACATAATTTAATTGCAGATGTTATAATGAAGCCGAGGTGATTTCTTAAAATCGTTTGAGAAAATTTTGTAGTGAAGAATTTGCCTTTTTTTAACGTACGAATTGTAAAAGGGCCAAAGACCAACACCTTCACGTGCAAATTGTGTGCGTGAGTTATTTTTATAATTCTGTTTACTCAGCTAGTTTACTGTGTGATAACTCGAATTCCCTCACGTACGAACGACGAAAGGGGGCAAAGTCCAACACTTTCACGAGCCAGCTGTGTGACTGTACATCTCATGCAGATTGGCTTTTCACAATGATAAATAGTAACTTGGACGTATGAAGACCTGTTTCGTTTTGTAACCAATGCCTTAAAAAAGGCTCTTGTCTTCTGAGAAGCAATAGCTTTTAAAACATGAAGAAATAAGTTGTCGGAGTTAAAGACTGTTTCACTGAGTAGAATCGCACGTGAAAACCTCGTGAATTATGATGATGCAACCATCTACCACAATGATAAAAATCCTGGTATTTCGTAACTATTCAGTATTCGATGAGTCACATTTTGGCTTAAGAAACTCCGAGGAAACCTTAGAGTTTTCCTTCTAATCAACGTTTGGTGAGTAGAAATTTATTTCACTTTAACGATTTGTTTAACTTGCACCAGATGTAACAGGGAAAGACAGAGGAAAGTGAATATATAGCTTGAGGATCGACTCAGCTGAGCGTTTCGCGTTTTCATTTTGTACCGCAATACGCAATTTCGCACAAAAACCTAATCTACATTTAGGATGAAAGAGGTAGATTGATCACTCTTGGTAAGGTTACACCGAAGCATTGAAGTTACACTGAAGCATTCAAAATAGCTCATGCACGTTTAACGTGCCTATGTTTTCTTTTTGGCCTAATAGTGACCAGAAAATGTCTCTGTCAATTATTGTTAACTGCCATTTTTGGGGAAAATTCCCAGTGGCAAATGGTTTGACAATTCATACAGTGTTCGGCAAGCCATAAAGTCTTGTGCCATTTTATGCCACACATGATTAACCATGGCCATATCAAATCATAATAGTATAGGCTCTGCTGACATGAATGATAATTGTTTTCTAGGCTTTGTGTTCTTCATGTTGCAACATGAAGTTCCTGTTACCATATATGAACAACAAGGAAGGGCGTGTTTGTCAAATATGCTGTAACGCTTTGTTGAGAGGTAAGCTATTTCGCATGTGAATAGCAATATTATGTTGTAGATAGGTGCATCATTAATTATCTCTTATCATCTCTTATTGGACACCTCTATAACACGGAAACCTTGCTAAAACCAGACACCTACACTGTAGGTTTGGTTCCAACCTCCTTCCTAGGGTTCTCTAGCCACTACCCATCCCTATGGAGCGAGAGAGAGAGAGAGACGGGTAGGAGAGACAACCTGGGACTGAGGTTTGGTTTGGTTCCTGGTTTTCTTTGCCCCTTTTAGTCAACTCTCAATAAGACGGACATCTCTCAAAGATGGACACTTAGTGCCAATCCCAATAGTGTCTGTCTTAGAGAGAGTCGACTTTGAACATTTCAAGTTATGTTCCTGCACTCCCATCTTTACACTGAGACTGAAAAAAATTCTTAGAATCTGAATTTGAATTCTTTCACAAAAACGTAAACGATCAATTCAAGTGCATACACTGCATGTGGAGCATGGGCCTAGTCCAGAGGGGGGGTCCTCTAAAGTGATTAGGATGATAAACAACGCGGGGATCAGCCGCCCCCCGTCCCAACACAAAAAAATCCCTGGAGATGTTTCTGTCTGTTTAACAAACAACCTTCCCATTGCAGCCCAGGCCTTGATGCAGGTTGTAGACAATCAAGCCAATGAGAATATCAGAGGAAATGATGACAGTCCAACAGATGAGTTACTCCTGGATAATGGCTTAGAGGAAGAGGAGGAGGAGGAAGAAGAGCAACTACCTCTACATGACCATGAAGATGCAGTGGAGCAGGAAATAACAGAAGGCCCTGAACCTGTTGGAGAAGTTGGTGAGGATACAACAGAAAATGATTTTCCTGGGGCAACAGGTATGATTTGGGAGTGAAGTTTTAAAGTTTGTTTTTCGTTGACAGTGCACTTACCCTATCCAGCTAAGCACTTTACTCAAATAATTATAAACAACTAATTCAAACAGAACATAAGCAGATTAAAAACCCAAACTGGCAGGAGATGACCTGTTGGCTATTTACAAGTGCAGCCAAGGATTTGAACTCGAGACAACCAAGAACAAATCCAGCAAGTGGACGGAGCACGTCTTGGCCACGCTGCCTCTTAAGAAAAAGAGTTATAATTCTTATGCTCTTGACTAGTACATTGTTAAATTAATGAGGATGTGTCGAACCATTGTGTTTAACTCTATATACCTATTTTAAGGTGGTTTTGATGTGTTTACAGTGCTGTCAGTTTTAGTTAGTGGAGAAAAGATGTCTTATTTCATTACTCTGTGACATATTACGGTGTACATTTTGAAACAACGGTTAAGCTTTGATGATCTCTTCTTAACTAGCTTAGCAACCAACATGCAGGACTACTTCTTTAGAGAAATTTGAAGGTTATTTTATGTTTCCTAGGGCAGGATTTTGTACGAGAACGCGCTGCTCCAGTTCTGCCACCTCTGCAGATTCCGATAACTCTGCCCCAAGACATGGGTGACACCCCTTTGGCCACGCCCACTTCCCCTGCTCTTTCAGATGACAGCGATTGTCTGTTTAGATTGGATGTTGACAATGTACGCTCTCTGTTGCCACAAGATATAACCGCCTTGCCACCTGTCCTTAAAGTTATAAATGGAGGTATGGTGTGTGTATTTGACTGTAATGACAGCCTGCATAGCAGGCATCAGTTTTTTTGCGGGGTGAAGGGAGATAACCCTAATACGCGTGTATACGTGAGGGCAGAAAATGAGAGGAGCCTTCTCTCCCCTTCGTGTTTTCCTTTAGTGAGCTGTATAAAAGCTAATCACGTAAACTAACCGGCGCCTGCACTAATAACAACGTTTTTTGACTTTCCTGATACTGCAGAGAACATTGATATGTTGCCTACTCAGTTAAAACTATAACAACATATTCTGATCTGACTGGCTATTGGTGACCCCGATTTCAGCATAAATAGGGCTAGAACAGTTTTATAGGACAGTTTCACTTAAATGGTAGCATGGGTACCAGAGGTCTTTTTGGCCAAAGTCACCAGCGGCAGTTTTTGCGCGGGTCACCATAAAGACTTGACCGCAGCCGGAAACCGCGCAAGTCCCTGGCATCTAGTGTACTTAAATGGTTTTGTTACTGAACAATTTTGTTCTTTTTTTCCTCGGTCTTTTTTTCGCGCGCGCTCCAATAATGCTCTCCCTAGTCCCCTAACTTTTTTTGCTGTTTTGTTTTGTTTGTTTGTTTGTTTGTTTTTTTCGCGCGGTTTTGGTCTGTTTTTGTTTTCGATGCGCCCGTTGCCGTCGCCGAAGGCTTTGCTTTAGGCTCTCTATTTACTATAATATAATGTCTGCACATAATTGCTTTATTGCAGAAATATCTATACAAGAAAGACCTGACCCAGCAGAAGTAATGTACCAGATAAAAGGTGTGAAGCTTCCGTGTTTGTGCAAATCTGATTTGAAAATCTAGCAATTATTTACAAATAAATTCGAAACTTAACAACCCGTCGCGTTTGAGAAATGAACATTTTGAAGTTCTGTGGGTACGTTCACTAGAGTTATAGTAATTTGACTCCATTTCTCGTGCAACTATTATCAACTGGAATCGTTACATGTCACAGTACTCCCCAGTATTACAAAGCTTTACAACTTAAGGTGGCTCGACTGGATTTTTTGGAGTTGATACCTCCCAAGTTTGAGCATTAGCTACGTCGGCATGAGTAAAGATATGGAAAAAAAGTTACCACAACTGTATTATATAAAGATGAAAATTTCTTATGATCTGGGTTTTATTGCAATCGGAGTCGCCATGGCAACGTAATGACGCCATTACGTTTTTCATTTATCGTTGTGTTTCTCTGTACCAGGAGTTTTTTGAAGAAATCGCTTAAGGGAGTATGCACCTGCCATAATCGCCTCCATTATGGCAAAGTTTGAAGAAATTCTATGAGAGCGTTTTCGACATATTTCAAAATGCAGTTTTAAGAATCATCAAAGCAGTGAAATAGCATGCTAGCCGCACAATTCGCTAATATTTTAAGAAAATGATAAGCTTTGGGAACGCGGCTTCATCTCATAAATTTGCATAAAAAAGAACTCTCGATTACTTTGCGAAGAAATATCCGGTATATGCTAATAATTGGCTTGTCGTCACAGATAGCAGTGAGAGCCGAAACGGTTACTTAATTATCTTACTCGGGTTATAACATCACAGAAACTCTCACAAAGAGTTGCTCTGATGTTATAATGTATCACTAACCTCTTTACCCGGTAATTAGCATATCCCGGAGATTTAACTGAGGGTCCTTTTTGATGCAAATTCTATCTTTTTGCTAAATGTGCACGTGTATATGAAACTTGAAAACAATGCCAGTGAATAATGAGGACGCTCACTTGTAAACACAAAATCTGGGGGGAAAATTGGTTATGTTTGAGTCTCTATTTAAATGCCTTCCCTGTTTTCAATGTTCTTAAAACTGGCAGGGAATATTTCTTGACGATTGATCTCGGAATTGTCGAATTTATAAAAAAATTTATCGAGCGGTTTTTGGAAAAATGCGAAATTTGTAGGCATGGACCAAATTACGTCCAAAAACTGTATCAAAAGCATCTGAATGCAAGTTAATAAAATCCTTCTTACTCGCGATCGCCCAGAGCAATTCCCCTCTTTTTTTGTATGCAGTTTTCAATGGAATCAATCCACTATGAGATGAAGCCGCGTTCCCAAAGCTTATCATTTTCTTAAAATATTAGCGAATTGTGCGGCTAGCATGCGATTTCACTGTTTTTATGATTGTTAAAACTGCATGTCAAAATATTTCGAAAACGCTCTCATAGAATTTCTTCAAACTTTGCCATAATGGAGGCAATTATGGCAGGTACATACTCCCTTAAGCGATTTCTTCAAAAAAACTCCTGGTACAGAGAAACACAAAGATAAATGAAAAACGTAATGGCGTCATTACGTTGCCATGGCGACTCCGATTGCAATAAAACCCAGATCATAAGAAATTTTCATCTTTATATAATACAGTTGTGGTAACTTTTTTTCCATATCTTTACTCATGCCGACGTAGTTAAGGCTCAAACTTGGGAGGTATCCTCCTAAAAAAAATTCAATCGAGCCACCTTAAATCGACAATCAACGGCCTTGAATTAGTTTTTTCTGCCAAAAAGTAACATTGATTTGCGTAAGTTATTTTTTTTGTTTTGAAAAACGCTAACATTTAAGTAACAATCGAAAGAAAAACAAGAGAAAACGAAAAGAGAAGAAGAGGAACCAAAAAGTGACGTAAATCCCCCGAATAAAATAAAGCAATTGATTGGAATTAAGAACAGTGTAAACTGCCATAGCATCATCCAATTACTAAGACTTACAATCTACACATTTATCTCTACAGGGCTTCATGAAACAGTTGCTTTCCTTCTGAATAAAAACCTGGTGGTCAAAGTCAGCATAGTGAAATGTAAGTTTGCCAGTTGACGTGTATCGTGATAACCGTCAATAAACACTCAATGACTGTTTCCGAAGGAGACATTGAGATTTGAGAGAAATAAAGTTAACTGTCTCCCCTAGAGACCATTTATTATAGCCCTTAATGAAATTTTCTACGCCTCAGGGAGTGCTCAACGTTCGCGTGTAACATTGGACAGTTACTCTCCCACGTCATCGATTTTGCAATGTGTTGGCAGCGAGAATTTTGGCGGAAGACTGGCGGGAAACAGTTTTATTGTTATATGTCATGTGACCTTAAAGAAACCAATGAGAGCGCGACCTGTTGAGGAAAAAAATTTCATGTTATATAACAACGTTTTTTATTAAACTTGGTTTTTATTTTATTATATGTAATTGTGCATTCAATAAAGTAATATGCTTGATATCCGGCTCATCTATACGGTGTTTTTATTGTTATTCTCTTTTTAGTGAGCTGTTGTGTGAAGCATAAATGTTGGTGTTTTGTGACAGATGGAATGGGGGCTGCCAATCAAGAAGAAATGGTGAAATACGCAAGCTAGCTTTGTTTATTGTTTATTGTTTTGTTTGCCAAAAATTATACAAATCAAATAAAATCTAATTACTTAAACTCTCATGGCGAGGAAGCCCAGGAGAAGCCACCGGGCTTATAAGGAATGGGCTCCCTCAGTTAGATAATTAGAACAAAATATTATCATAATTACACATGGGAAAATCAATGGCAGAGCTACAGTAAATCTTAAAATAAGTATATTAGATAGTCGTACTAATCATAGTTCTAGGCTAAAAAAAGCGAAATGACAAAAAGAAAAAAAAAGAACAAAACAAATGAAAATAAAAGAGCAAAGGAAGAAAAAAAAAATATATATATATATATATATATATAAATTACTATTTAAGATAAGAGGAATGCTTTCAGCTTACAGCAAAAGGAAGCGGTACTTGTTGCATTTCGAATTTCAAAACTAAGAGAGTTAAAAAATTTAGGACCTTGGAAATCGGACCTTGGACCTTTACAACGAAAAAGTGTGATTCGTGAAAGACAAACGTGATTTGGTTACATACAGGAGTGAACCGTGAATCGATTGTTGTCGTGATAACTGCATGGGAGTTGACTTGTTTTCTTTTCGTGAAATGTGAACCGTAATTCTTTCTTCCTACCTGAAAAAAATACTTAGTTAGTGCTGGAAACTTGACTACGTGTAGTACATAAATCTGTGTGTCAGTTCTTCCGACATGTGTCGTTAGATGCTGTACTTCCAAATTCCAATTCGACAAGGAACTCTCGGATACGTTTAAACGGGTTCCTAGGAAATGCAAAGTGCTTCGTGGGTAAACGAATTACAGTCACAAGATAAGATTCAGTGATTTTGTTTTGTTACCTCTGCGTAAAAATCCCCAACGACGTAAAATAATTCATGGCATGCGTCCCGTAGGACACAAAGATCAATCGATCGATCTGAACATGTGTATTTGTAAAAATATCCCGTTCGTGTAATTTCTGTGGCAGTTATTTTAGCTGTTGTTTAACGATGCATATTTCTTTTAGCCTTTGTTGTGCTTTAAAATAGAAGGACTATATTTCATTTATTTATTTTATTCAATATAGAGTTTTGGAGTCTCTCTTCAGATTAACTGTCTGGTTACATAAAGCCCCAAGCATTTTCAATTTCGGACTCGTTTTTTTTTAAAAACTGGCACTCACTGGTTCTAGTCTAGGACTCATGATTTTTCACAAGGTGAGTCCCAGGACTCACCATAACTATTTGTAACAAAATCACTGTAGATTACGAAACAGGGTATTATTATTTTTTTGGCAGGTTGTTTTGCTGGAGTGTCTTCGTAAGGAGACGATGCTGCCTAAGGATGTCCTCTCGCACTTTAACACAGCGTTTGCTTATGCCAAACAAGGTAGGTACTAGTCCCCAAAGTGGTAAACCCTAAGTTGTATTACTACCCGCTTAAATAACAACATCTTTATTCAGCGCCTTTTAATATCAACGCTTGTGGTTCGCTGATGTAAAGTAGGAGCCAGTCGAGTTGGGCACAGAAGGAAGTAGATAAATAAACGTAAACTGCAGTAAAATGCAATCTTAGAAGCAATCTATATCGTATCGTATTAGACTCTACTTTTAGGTACTTTTATTTCATAGATACGTAAGATGATATGCTTGCGGGAGATAGGGGGAGGGGGTGCTAATTGGAAGCTGAGTGCCAAGCCAATTCGAGCATTTGCGGTATGCGCATAGCCATATTTTTACAGAAACGTATCAGACTAAATGACTTCAGTTATTCCAAATGGATACTCGAGAGGAAGAGCAATTATAATTTTTTAGCGACAACTAAGTCCTTTTAAAGTACGTAACATTGAGGTAATTTGTGTCTTTAAATTTAGGTCACACGGTGTCAGAACTTGGCTACACTATTTTTGGTCAGCCATTTCTGGGCAGTAGTGACAATGCAGGCTTCCTTTATGTCAAGCCAACATATCAGGTACTGGCAACCCACCAACAATATCAATACATTATCAAGAGAAAAAGGTTATGTTGAAGACATTTCCTCTACTAGCTAATTCTTTGAAAAGATGTATGGAGATCGTCTCTAGAATTTGTAGTTGGATAGAGCGATTTTCGTATGACCTTGAAAAATGGTTTCGGTAAGTGTTCGTTATTTGTTTTATCAGCCAATGGATAAGAAGATCAAAATATAACCTCTTCCCTTTCCTGACCAAAGAAAAACGTAATATGGAAAAATCATTGTTTGATTGGCCAATCGTGTTGCAGTATGACGTCAAAGCGAGGTATCGGTTGATTTCTAGAAAGTTTTCGGGCATGAAGTCTTTTCACCCGAGCGTTCGCTTAACCAACCAAAAGCCACGCGCGTTTGTATCCGTTCGATAAACCAATCAAATCGCCGTATTTCCGTTCGCTTGTTGTTTTTGTTTTGTTCGCGCGTTTTCATTTCAAGGTCATACGAAAATCGCTCTATTGGAGCTTAAAGGAGCTAGGAACTGCCACCTATTTGAGTGAAACGTAAAAAATAACCACTCAAAACATAAAAAGAAGTTATTAATAACACAGCAAATATAAAAGAAAGCACTGATGGACAAACCTTAAGAAGACGGATTGCAATGGTGGTTTTTGAAAACTTGTTAGCCTAACGGTTTTTTAAGGTTCATTTTTGTTGCTTGAATCGTTTGAAATAATGCGTCGAAGACTTATTTGTTTTACATGAAGTTGTGATTTTATCATTCACAAGTAATATCATAAGTTCTAAAGCGAATAAGAACGCATAAAACTTGGTAACCTCATGATAAAACAATTATTGAACTCGGTTATCGCGAAATATCGTGAAATGTCAGTGTCTCGCAGATCAATTATTTGCCTATTCGGCTTCGGCAAATAACTGATCTGTTCGCCACTGACAAATCATGAAATTTTGCTCAACCGCGTCCAATAATTATTAATTACTAATAATAACCAAAGATTAGGGAGTGTGGGCGACAGCAATCGAAGGTCCAAACGCTATTGTTCCAACGTTGCGCTTTGCTTAAGTTTCAGTTGACAGATAGTCAAAACGCGCGCAGATCAGATTACGATGGGTAGAAGGTCGAAACGCGCGTGGTCAAATTGCGTTTGGTGGATTCCATTCATTCGCAGTGGAAGTCCAAACGAGTGCTGGCTACACACGTGCGACGCATGCGTAACAACAACCTGCAGATTAGCATTGCGGGCTCCTCTTGTCGCCCGCAAGAAACAAAATAAACTAACTAGATGGCCATGGGGCAGCTCCTTTAGAGAATTAAACTATATTGCAGCTAACATAAAATTCCTTTTGTCATTTCCCCAGTGTCTTAAAAAGCTTCCATTACCGTCTACACCTTACGTGGTAGGGATTTTGATTAAACGTCAGGAGACACCGTGGGCTCAACTCTTTCCTTTGAGGCTTCAACTTCGACTTGGAGCTGAGTACAGATGTATGTACCATTCTGTTTAGTTATGATCTTTTCAGTTTTCTGCCAGTCCAAATCATAGCCCGTATAATAGTCTGCGTGAAAGTCCGCACGATAGCCTTCGTGATAGCCTGTGTGATAGTGTGCGTGATGGCCTTCGTGATAGCCTGCTTAATAGCCTGTGTAATAGTCTGTAAGATAATCCTTTGTGGAAGCCCGCGTGATAGCCTGCGTAAAAGTCTGCGTAACAGTCTGCGTGATTGCCTGCGTGATAATCCTCTGTGGAAGCCGCATGATAGCCTGCATAGTAATCTGCATGATAGCCCCCGTGAGAGCCTGAGTAATGCTGACTCTTCGTGATAGGCTTCGTTTGAAGGGCGCATTTGTTTTGAGCGCTAGCCCTTCTCCAGAGCGAATTAACCAATTTTCCTGACTTGCCCATCGTGTTACGATGTCCCTACTAACAGCGTCTAAACCGCACACAACCCACCATCATGCCTTGAACGGCATTAGCTCGTCTTTGCAGAGTACAAGACTGGTTACATAATGTTACATAATACAGTGTGAACGTTTAGTTGTCATTTTGTTTGCAGATTACCCGTGTCCACTCTTCAGCTCGCGAACCAGACCATCTGTCTACGGTGAAGTGGGCCACACAATCATGAATCTGTTAGCAGTATGTATATATCCAACCTGTTGGGTCAAAATAAACGCTGTCACGGAATCCAGCTTTCTATCATTTAATTCCCAAGCTAAATCAAGATCACCCCCCCCCCCCCCCCCCCCCCCCCCAATTCCCCCCCCCCCCCCCCCCTCCCCTTTGAAACCCCCCTATTCCCGGCCCCAACTTCCCCCTTAAAAAAAAAATTTTTTTAAAACAAAAAGATTATAACAAAAAAAGACTTTTTTTTCCAATAACAAAATTTTCGAATAGTTTACCCGAACCAGACCACCTGTCTACGGGCAAGGGGGCCCCAAAATCATGAATCTGTTAGCAGAATGTATATATCCAACCGTTTGGGGCAAAATAAACGCTGTCCCGGAATCCAGCTTTCTATCATTTAATTCCCAAGCTAAATCAAGATCCCCCCCCCCCCCCCTTCCCTACCCCAATTCTCCTCTCCCGGGCCCTACTTCCTTAGGAAGCCCTGATATTCAGGTCCCAAATTCCTCGTTAAGAAATAACGTTTTATCAATCATGAAGGTTATGAGAATACAAGGGCTTTATTCACAAGATCAGATGTCTTGATAGGTTTCTTATGCCTGCCTACTTCTTTTTCATTTTCCAAATTTGTTGGAGGTATAAGATAGATGAATACATGCGGGACACCTATTAGGCCTGCTTGTTCGTATTTTGCCTGCTTCGTACGACAGAAAACCCTGCTATAGAAAATGAACCCTGCTTTCTATACAAGCCTGTTGAGTTTCAACGTCTCAACAAGAACCATTATGGCTCTTAGTCCCGCAAGTCACTATCTAACCAATTGTCATTCATAGAATAGAGTAGTACACTTCTGCAAACAGTTATAAGAACTGCAAGTTATAAACATTGCTAAAAGCAACTCTTGAATGACGAATACACCTCTTTAGCCTAGACATAGCCACACCCTCCCCCCGACAAAGGAAAAACGGAGAGAGGAAGCTCTCTCTCTCCGTTTTTCCGTTGTCGGGGGGAGGGTGCGGCTACACGTAGGCTAACACCTCTTCTTCAGAAGGTTAGCTTAAGAGTTATACGTTCACCGACTATTATATGTCCACAGGATTTCAAAAATTTCCAGTATACTTTAGCCAGAGTGACAGGCCTTGTGATTCACATGGAGGAGAAAAGGACCTTAGTTAGACTGCCTCAAGACAGATACGATGAGGTACAGAGTATCATTAATTTGATGTTGGGCGGTATCTAATGAGTATAATTTTGTAGCACTTGCGTGAGTCTATCCCATTTTGTCGTAACTTACCTTGAGTCCTCGAGCCCATCTTATTTCGACACAAGTAACTGGTAAATTTACTGCTCTTTGAGTTGCCGGACTTTAAAAACCATTTCGTAACTTGAAAAACGCGATCACACTTCATTTCTGGTTTCTCACCAACGTTATTTACCGTAATTTTTAATCGAGTACTTCATTTCAGATTGCTTCCGCATCCCCCTTTGCCTCTAATAATTGTGTGCAACTTCATTTTCAAATCGCTCCGGGTATTCCTCAAAACTACACTCTAGAATAAACCCTGAGTTCTATTCACAGAACGCTCTCACCGCACTGTAAATGTGTATTTATATTAGGTTGTAAAGATTCTGAATGCTTCGGATGAACACGTTATGGCTTTGGGTGCTAACTTCAGCCTACAGGCGGACTCACACCTGGTGTGTATACAGAGCGAACAAGGCTACAAAACTCAAGCCATAAACATACAGAATCAACCCAGGAAAGGTGCAGTATTTTTATCTTGTATCTTACAGGTGGACTAGCTTCTACATTAAGTATCGCTCAAAACTAAATAACATGTGGAGTCTGGTCGTCTCTCGCGCCACTTACCTTGCCTCTTCGCGCTCCTTTACGCATAAGGCCTCCACACCTTGCCTGCTATCTTGAAAAGTGTTTCTGGTTTCAGTAATGATATATATTTTTTTACGGGAATGGGAGATTAGCCCAGCACCCAACCCCTAACCTGGAGGACCAAGCGTTGCAATACGTCATGGTCCCAACTGGTATAGCTTCGAGGGTCATCAAGGCACACAAATCTCCCTACCACGTTATTAAAAGGTGCAACAATGACACTCATGGAGGTTTTCTGTGATGTTAACATGTTTTGTATCTTAATTTAGTGACTGGAGCAAGCTTTATTGTCTTTAGTGGTGCTGTGAAGTCAAGTAGTCCATTTATGGCCAAAGTTAGCATTGTCGAAGGTTTGTCACCTGTTGTTTGTCGTCTATAATGATTTTCTTGTCTGTCCAAGTTGGACATGGTTGTTTTGGAAGTTGCTTTAAGAGCCAAATTGTCGTCTCCAATGCCCAAGCGCTTCAGCGGTGGAACACCGTTGAACACTGTTGTTGCAGACTCGGTACTCACCTAGTCCATTTCTAGCCCTTCTCAGATGTTAAGAACTCTCTCCTCTGGCGTTGCGTGACAGAAAGAGGGTGACCGTATTACCGAGGTGGCCGTAAGGCGAGGTTCCATTGTATGAATTTGACTGTTTATTATGCGTGTGCGTTATGCAGGGTTTCACTGCATCGGGTGTTAGAGTACTGCAACTAAAATAAAACGTCTCAGGTTGAGTGTCCTTTTCTTGTAGATGGAATTATGGTGCAAATGCTGCCTGAAGCGATCACCAAGTTAAGAAGTTCCCTTAAGGAGATGAAGGACTATACCATCACCACAGGAATCCCCGGTGGGGGAGGGGAGGAGGAAGTTATTGTAGAGTGGGTCAGTCGAAAGGATGCTCCGCGCCAATCCAGGTATAGAACTCGTGTTTACAGTGAACTCTGCCTGTGATGGGGACCCTGTGGCCATTAGCACTTGGGCCTTTGGTGTCCAATACTGCACGGACAATCTAACGTACGGGCAATCGTCAATTAGACAAGACTAATTTCGTACGAATGGGCTTTCATTCAGAAAAATATTGTGCGAACTAAGTGATTTGCACAGAAACGAATAAATCTTTTTTTTACTTAAGATTAATGCCGTACTTAGTCGTCTCGAATTGGTGTAAAAAATATATACAAGGCAAGACTACCACTTCAAATATTCGGCGACAAAGGCGAAGTGTACGTGTTAACAGTGAGAACTAATTTACTGAGCCGAACAAGCTAACGTACGTAGTATAAAATGTAAGTAAGACTAAAACTAATAGCGTATGAACTGAACAACAGAGAAACGTTCTTAATAAAGACTTACACGTACGAACTGGCGTATTGAAGAGAGTGAACAAGACAAGAAGAAAGTATATAAGGGAAGGCTAGCTTAAGTCTATGCATGAAGAAACGTCAAGATAACAAGGCTGGTACCGTACTAACGAAATCCATATGAAAAGATGCAAAGGCGACGCAGCTGATTCAGTGCCGGAACGAACTAACGCACGAACCTGGTTTTCGAACGAACTGATGTACGGACAAAATACAAACAAAAAAGACTAGTGCTGTACGGACGACTGAACGACGTACGAAGAAAGTGTATGTGTGTGTGTTGGGTGGATCCGCGCCCAGAACAGGGTCCCCGCAAAGAACCAAGACAACGAGGGGGTCGGGCTATGGGTGGGGGGGAGCGGGAGGGGGGACGGGGTGTGTGGCGGGGCGCGGGGGGGGGGGGGGGGGCACGGGGGGAAAACGGGCGGGAACCTGGGAGAATAGAGAGCCAAAAGCGTACGGAAGGCGGACGAGGAAAAGAGCGGGGATTTACTCAACGATTCTGAAATAAATATTTCAGTAGCAATCGAGAAAGAAATAAAAAGAGAAGGGGAAGAAAAGAAGGGGCAGAAGACGGGGACGCAAGGTACGGGAGGTGGAGAGGTTTGGATCCCCTGAGCCCCGACACAAAAAACGGTGAAAACTAAGAAGACGCTCCTAAAGAGCGTTTTGACTTACGGAGAAGCTTTTTAAGAAGGGAAGGGCAAGTGCGTTGCCAACCATCTAAATTACAGAGCCAAAATACTGACACGACAAGACTAATAGTTATACCACGCGAACAAGCAATCGTGCGAAGTATAGCACGTAAGCAAGACTTAAACTAATACCTTACGAACTGGAGAAAAAACAAAACTATCTTAAGAAGGGACTTGCACTCTACGAACAAACTGGCATGCTGAGGAGCGAATAGGGCAAGACAAATACCGTTCAAACAAACTTTGATACGTCGAGACGAAGGAAACGAGACACGTAGAGTCATAACGCAGTAGATTACTTTCTTCGCTTTTTAGTCAAGTTGCTTTCCAATACTGCATGGAGACAGTTCGTGGTTTGCTTGCCGTCTGGTACTGTCGTGGGTTACAATTTCAACGTAAACCAAGATGATTAGTACCAGGTTCTGATCCACTAGCCAGAGAGGAGTTCGGCCAAAAGGGGTCGAAAGAGAACACAGAAAACGGCAGGAACCAAGTCTAGGTGTCCGTTTCAGGGCGACCCCTTTCTTGTTGAAGTTCGTTCTTAACTCATAGCCCTAATATCGGTATCTAATATCGGTAGTGGGGAGAAGTTGTTGAAGTATCATTTAGATTCATCGTCTGTGATCATGCACTCAATTCTCATGACCACTCTGTTTAGTAAAGCATCGATATTACAAGGAGAAATTTCATGCTGATCACTGCCAGGGCCGGGATAAAAGGGAGTTGACTATTTATCTTTTTTTTTTGTTGTTGAAAATTTTAAACAGCTTGTGCAGCCCGGTAGATGGTCTTCAACTGGACGGTTTCCCCAGTGTGAAAGTTCATAGTGGCTATGATTTCACTCGCAAGAATGCCTACAGGATTCAGTGGATGGAGATGTATTTCTTAGGTGAAGGTCAACAAAGTGCTTCCCGGGATTTGAATAAATTGACTGCAGAGGTAGCAAAGGCTTTTGCACGAACACTCATGCCGCACCTACAAAAGCTGAGTTCTGACAACTGCACATTTCTTGGCTTGCGAGTCAGTTTGGATAGTGAAAATGTAAGTTCTTATCAAAGTGTAGACTACGAGTTGTCCCCCATTTTCCTCAGGGAGAGTAGAGCAAGCGAAACGCGAGCGCGCGTGAAATCACCCCACGCGAGAAAAGGCGACACGCCGCGTGTCGCCTTTTCTCGCGTGGGGTGATTTTCACGCACGCTCGCGTTTCGCCCGCTCTACTATCCATGAGGAAAAATGGGGGACTACTCGTAGTCTAATCAAAGTGTTACTACAAAAAACGTTAGTTGTACTTCCCTTCGGTTTATGGTAAACTCTTTTTGGATAAAACCATAGTTTTCTAGAGAAGAGTTTTACTCCGTTGACCCCGTATGATATACTACATGTGTGCAAGAACAAAAGCGTTCATTTATAAATTCGAATTCATATTCCAACAGAAACTGTAGACGAATAACCCCGTGTACATTTGCTACCTTTAAACCATTGTTTATTGCGGGCGACCAGAGGAGCCTGCAATCCTACAGGTAGCTATGGCGCATGGGGGGGGCACGTAAGTAGCCAGCATTCGTTTGGACGTCCACTAAGAGAGAATGAGTGGAACGCAATCTGATCACTCGCCTTTGGACCTTTTATAACACGCAGGGCTGTTCTCTATCAGAGCCTGGTAGCCCTGGCGTCCAACTTTTGCTCACGGGCGACTAGAAAATTGTAGTTTTTTCATGCAAATCATATGCTGGGCACCCTGAATTTTACGGGTTCATAGCGCTGAATTCCCTTCTACAGTGGAACCTCAATATAACGAACCTTTATAGAAGTCCTCGGTATGACGAACGACTTTCTTTACTTCAGTAATAGTAAAATATACGAAAAAGAACCTCGATATAACGAAAACACGGTATAGCGAACAAATTTTGCCAGTCCCTTGGCCCTTCGTTATATCGAGGTTCCACTGTATTTTCCTCAGGGCACAGCCTTTCACTCGTTCTCTTATCAAAAGCGTTTTGACTTTCTATCAAGTGGAACTAACGCAAAGCAAAAAGTTGGAGCACTTCAAACTCAATAGGTACCTCACTAAATGTAGAAGGTTTCTCGATAAAACATTCGCTCATAAATTGGTCTCTCTTAAAGTTTATGGATAAACCTGTTCAAAAATGTATCCTCGGTATCGTTACCATGACTCTACCACGATCGGTGTGTGCCTTCCTTTAAAAACTTACCGCGGAACTAGAAGTCACTTATCATGCTTGCGACGCCTGAGGTTCCACTGACGATGGCTAGATGACCGTGATCTTCTACTGCTCTGCTTTAGTCAGCTGACCAATTTCACGCAAACTCTTATATCTCGCGCATGCGCTGTATACGCCGGAGGGCGTTGTGCCAGGAAAAAAAACGTTCCTGTTTTTAACTCGGGCGTTCCTATGGAAGCCCGATTAACAAACAATGAGGAAGGCGCGTAAATTCAGTAGGGACTGTTTCCGTCGGGTTCAGTCACATAAGGCTGATCTAGCAACAGATCGGGAACATCAGTTGACGACAGCGCGCGCAAATCAATCAACTGGCTTGATCAATGGCAAAGCGGCAAATTGGGCACCGGAAGTCGAGTTTAGTCCTTTCCGCGCGCTTTCCCGTCGTCAAATGACGTTCCCTGTTGCTAAATCAGCTGTCAACTGGTTATTGAGATCTAGAACAACACGAATACCTTCTTGTTTGTGTTTATGCAGGTTGGCTTTTTAACTGGGAGTAACCAGCGAAGCTTGCCTGCCAGTATCTTGTCTGATCTGGATGACGTACTAGTTCCTGTTCTTCATGCAGCCGCCAGCCATCACAGAGGCTCTGCTATAAATGTTGAACTACTTTTTAAAATTCTGCGGCTTCTATGATGTAATGGACCTTGCACCGCAATCACAACCAAAGATTGATGTATTAAAGTAGGAGAGTTCTTGCCAAGAAGAATAGATAATTCTTAGGCTATGGCAATTAATTCAGCGCTAATGTGTTGTGGTGCTAAACATGATAAGGACCGTTTTTGTGCAACTGTTATATATTTTAATAGGCATTTTCAAGTCTGGTCATAGAAGTTTGTCAACAGACTCTAAATTAGCACAACATACCAGGAGCCTATGTACATACCAAATAAATAGCATTATGTGAAGGTATTACTGAAGAGCCCGGGGGTTAGGTGGGGGGGGGGGGGGGGATCCCAAATAAAAAGAGATAGAGAGGCTCTTCGGAAAATTAAATTAAAACACCTAGGGGGAACAATGGGGGAGAATATGTGGTTTGTGATAGAAGAGTGATAGGTTGTGTTTGTGTTAATTTGTTTTATTTTTTAATGAGTATTTAGAACGGGGGGTAAAAAGATTACAAAACAACCTCAAAATCAAAAAAACAGTACGGGATTATATGAACAAACAAAAAAAAGAGAAGGTGGGGGGAGATTAAGGGGAGGGGGGGGGGGGGGGGGGGGGGGGGGGGGGGAGGACTCCCATATAAAAGTGACTGAGATGCTCTTCGGAAAATTAAAATTAGACACCTAAGGGAGACCAATGTGGGTGTGGCTCAAATTTCAACTAGTCCCTAAAGGAGATTTCAGTGTGGTCAGCGTCACGGCATGTTTTGTAAAAAAATTAATTTCTTCATGCACAGCCCTAAGCAATAACTAAATGGGCGTGACATGGCCCCCTTAAGTTAGGCTTTTTCAATCTTTGCCACCAGTGTTTGTGACAGTTGGTCACATTAAATCATAAAAGTGTTGGTAAATTATATTCAAATGAAATGCAAAACCAGAACATCGATTAACACCTCTCTTACTATGAAAGTGTAAGTTATGAACAGTTCATTTGGTGGGTTAAGCAGAAAGTGCACATACCATATTGATACTAAAATAATCATTAGTGTCTTTTCACTACCAAGAAATAAGGGGATTAAAGTAAGATGTTATAAATAAAATCTCTGGGCTGCGCAGTAAAACGGGAAATAACCCAATCACAGACTTAGTAGAGACATGTCACTGTTCTCGGGGGGTTACCATAAAATTAATGACCTAAAAACTAATAAACCTCTATGTAATTTAAAGGGTCCAAGCAGGGGCATTTAATGGAAAGGAGGCGTTTAAAAGAGGGAGGCATTTATTCTCAAACTGTTACAAGCTCAATAAAACTAATATGCTTTCAGAAAAAATATCAAGAGAGTTTAAACATAGTGGAATATCCACTCCTAGGCCATGTAGAGATCCATATTGCTCTATGAAATCCCAACATTGATGTCAGAAACCTCGCTCAGGGTTATTGTGTTGCCATCGTTAGTCTGTCCTTATTTTGAACTTCACAATGAACAAGACAAGATACGCAAAGCCTTGTTAATCAAGCAATAGTTAACAAATTTTTATGCAGAATTACTTTTGCTGCATGGCTGGTAACATGCCTAAGTATAACCAGTGGAGTAAATATTATATTACACTGTATTTTGTAACATATTAATAGTGTAAGTAAAGAACCTAAAAAAAATGAGTGAAATACAATCATGAGGAATGTATCATTCCATCAAATTATTTATAATGATTACATAAATAGGCCCATATGCATGGCAATAAGTTGCACATAGGTTATACATGTAATGCAAGTGTCATTTAATATTGCTAGCTAACAAGTTCAAAGCCAAATGATAGATACACTTTTGTTTTCCATATGCCATGAGTAATAATGTTATACAGTGTAACTGAATTTTTGCTAAGTATTTTAAAAAGATTATAAAATATTGCTAAATGTTTCCAAGAGCCAACTGCAATTTTGTAACAGTTTAAACAATAAAAAGCATTTAAACTGATTGGGTATTTTGATCCAGCAGAAATCAATAAAATAGAATTAATGCAGAGGCAGTGCCTGGTTATTTTTCACCTCATGATTCCCAAGAATGGTGTCAGACGTCAATTTTGTATGGGGAAGATTTTTTGCTTAATTGTTAAAATAGCCTGAAAAAACAGGAACACGTATTCCCAGTGCAACAACTGGTACCACAGAAAATATGACTGTTTTCTTAGGCTATTTTAATGATATCACAGTGACTACAGGAGTGAAGGAACCGGGGGCTGGGGATTTTTCCTGGCTTCTATGGACATTGTCCCCGGCTACTTCTATAGAAAAATAGAAGAAAAATAAAAGCAAAAGAATTCCTTAGCTGCTTGATTCCCCAGCTACTTGTTGTGATTACCCGGCAACTTGAAATCTTAGTGACAGCCCTGCACTATAGTCAAACCTGGTTTAGGCAGTCACTCTAGTAAGAGATGACTGTACCTTAACAAGCACGTTTGGTGCCGTGTTAGAATAAACATAAACTGTTATGTATGACAGACCTGAACAGCATTGAAGTATCACGTATTGAGAAAACAATAATATTTATTTTAACTTCACCTCTTTAAAATGACTCAATAATTATTATTATTATCATCACAAGTTGAGGACATCCACAAGTGCATGTTAACAAATATCTTTCTATCAGGAAAATATGGTTTGATAGTGTGCACGGGCACAGACTCTCACAATGAGGTACAAAGCACGTGTATGAATCCCACAAAGGAAGTTACTTGTTGTTCAGTTTAAGCTTTTGGCGTTCTTTTTCTCTCACTCTGTACATAAAACTGAAAAAAAAAGAAAAAAAAAACAGTTGAACTAATTTTCAGGAATACAGACTCCAACCTCTTAATTAGTTGGTCAGTGAAGAGGAAATGCCCAAATGACTGCTCCTTGTGCAGATCATGCCATTAGACAAAGTTTTGAAATAATATGTCAAACTACAGATACAGTAGCCAGAGAAAACAGCCAACATTTTGCAACTCCACCACTAGTTTCCAAGCAAAACGACATCAGAGAAACAAGTGCAGAATATCCATACTGATGACATGTCACTAACCAGATCTGAGTAGTGCTTCTGACTGGTTTAATATTTGTTTCATCCAGTCTGAAGCACTACCATGAACATGGTAGTGAAACCTCATCAGTATGGTATTTCTGGGCTCATTTCTCAGATGTCATTTTACAGGAAACCAGTGGTGGCGTCATGAAAAGTCAGCTGTTTTCTCAAGCTAAAAAAAAAATACAGTGTTTCATCACAAGATCAAACACAAAGTATAGAGTTGAAAATACCTCCCATATTTGTATTAATTTTATATTTCTGCAAAGCCCTGCACATGCATCAACTCCAAATGAGTCATATTTTCTATTATTGTGAAAAAGTATGAGACTGCTGCAGGGATGGTGCCGGAATCATACCCGTTATCAGGAATAACGGTGCATTAAATGAGCTTATTATTCATTCAAAATATTTCCACGATTCTAATTGGCTAACCAGTTACTGATGACCAAATCTGGAAGAGTTTTGTGTTTAACGAGGAAATGACGTCAAAAATGCAGCCTTCTGCAGGTTAATGCATGGTAACCGAGAAGACCTAAGGACGAGATTGAGTTGTTTTTGTTGTGACAACTAAAATGGCGTACACTTCACTTGTTTCGAGAGTAAGAACTACAGCTTGAACTAGGCGAAATAATGGCTAAAAACATAGCAAAAACAGCAAGAAGACAACTTGGAGGGCGACATCTGTTATTTGGACAATATTTGCAGAGCTGTACAAACCTAAATGTACACTATTGAAGATAAACTTAACATCAATGTAGGTAAGCCTGTTTTAGCCATGTTTTTAAACTAGGAATATTATTATTTTGAATGAATAATAAAGCAATTAATGAATTCGGCTTTCGTAGGATCTGAAGAGGCCTTTGGCCTCAGTGGATAACACCCTCCTTGATCTGCTTAATTCTTCATATCCTACTCAGCCTCATTCATTAATTGCTAATTAAATATTATGTCTTTTGAAGAAACCAGTGGTAAATTTACCATTAATATAAGCTTATTATTTCGAGTCTACATTCAACTTACTCGTCATATTCACACCTCTCCCATAAATGTTTCTCGTGATGGCATTTCCACGGCACCATGTAAGTTTCCTTTCGGCACTTCAGAAGCGGTATGAGCAAGTGTGCACAGTAATCTCTGCCAGACAAGGGCAGCTTGGCGTCCGCCATTTCTTTCTGTGTCACCTTCATCACTAACAACAAAATATGGCTTTCAATAACAATTTCTAGGAAGAGGAAGGTCTTCATGCTTATTATAAAAAGGACCAAGCTACTTTTAAGAGGTATAAGCAGTGATAATAGGCAGTTTTACCTCCAGGCTCGAACTTTTCGAAGTTGGCGTCCGCCATGATGGATGTTGTATTCTGTATTCCCACAATTCAAAGCGGTATACAAGCGCGCAATGCGTACATGGTAAAATTTTTAATGGCAAATCAAACCTTGAAAAAAATTAAGATTTTAATGTTAATCTTTGTTGTTATTATCTTTCTTGTTATTGTTGATGTAGAATCGAGTTTGTAATTCTGCCATTGGGTACTTCTACACTCGCAAGAATGATAGCTCGCATTATTATCACTACACGCGGCCAAATGACAAATTGCCCTCTCTAAAACGCTCTCTAACTTTTCGTGGGCCAAACGGCAAAGTGCGAACTGTAAATGGAATTTGCATTGCAGCCCGCAACATAATTTCATGTTAAACAATCTTTCCTTATGAAATAATAATGATAATCACATGACTTTCGTCGCATATAGTTGATTTGTGTCCCCGTATCATTTGCACCCTCGCAAATGATGTTACTCGGACCAAAAATAATAATAATAATAATAATAATAATAATAATAATAATAATAACGTCTTTATTAAAAAGCATCCGATAAAATTACATATCTGATGTTACAGTAAAAATATATATTGATAGAAAAAAAAATTGCAATGATTAAGACGAATAAAAAAGATTAAATTGATTAAAGATACATATGGGGTATTTACACAGCTAGATTATATTTAAAAATTAATCTATTAAAAAAGCTATCTTTGAAACGTTCAGTGTTAAGCTATAGGACCTCCAAACGTCATGTGATTGTCCTATCAAAAAATTAAACGTGCTTATTTGATCAGACACCAAAGCTTTTTTCCTGTAGTTCATCAAATCATATTCGCATTACAACAACAACAAAGAGCTTTATTTGCATGACCATAAAATACCCCGACAGTATTGCAAAAGCTATTTCGAGAACCAACTTTGACCACACCTGATCTTGTCACATTTTATGAATTCTACGCTTTAAAAATCGACCCTTCTTTGTATCTAAATCATTTCTAGCTTTTTAATTTACCGTGACCTGATTATTCTTTGTTTCCCAGTCAGCCGCAAGTTTTTAATTACCGTGATAACCTGATGAACATTTGTTAATAGCGGCACATTACCTTCTCAGTAATTAAGCCCTGAAAATTGATGTTAACAGCTAAAATTTGCTGGTGGAGTCATTTGTTTAACCTTTTTCAAGATGGCCAAGCCAACCTCAGAACTGGTATATCTTGGTATATGTAGGGTAAACATATAGGAACATTGTTAACTTCACATGTTAAAATACGGGGCTTCGTGCAAACATTAAAAACTAATAAAGCTCCCAGATGACCATAGAAATGAGGCAAGGTTCCTTTTACTATTCTCATTATTTTCATATATCGTTTTAACTAGCTCATAGGCTAATCCAGTCGCAAGGATAAAAAGTGGTTTTTAAATAGATATAATGGATTTCAATGAAGCGTGGTAAAATTGATTCACAACACAGGTGACTGAGATCTCTTGGTCAAGAGTTTGTTATAAAACGTGTGATTAGAAGGCATCGTGAACTTTGGGGAAACAAATGAATTGCTGTTTGCCAAAGCGTCTCAGACAAGCTTTAAAACCCACTGGTTTAAATTCTACAAACTTGAGAAGGATGCCTACAAGAAAGTCCAGAGAAAAGTTAGCACTCAGCCTCGTTTCTATCTGTAACTGTAAAATGGGCCATTGCAGTAAAAGAAAGAAAGAGATAGAGAAAGCATGAGTAATAGGAAAAAGAAAGCAAGAAAGCCTCTAATAACTTCAATGCCCACGTAAAACATTGGAGCTCAAGCGAAGCAGGTTTAACCTTAGATCAAGTTTGTATGCCTAATAAAAATACGGCCTGTGTCTGTTAGCAAAAAAGGGAAACAAAAATTTCTGTAGACGTGTACAGTGGAGAGCTTACTACGATTTTTTTTTTTCAGAATCAACTTACAGGTGCAATTTGTAAAGTGTTAAACGAAATTGCAATAACGCTGTGACAGAAAATAGACAAGTGAAAAAAGGTCCGAGGATAGAAATTTAATAGGCACGCATGGATCCCAGGAAGGCATTCGCAAGGTTCTCAATTGAAAGGAGAAATGTGGCACATAGGTTTTAATTTGACATAATGAGAAGAGAGAGCCTAATAATTTCCCTGGTTAAAGGCTAGTTTTCACTCCTAGCGACGGAATCGGAGCGGTCGTAATCGGCAGAAGCGTCAGGGAACTTTACGATCTAGTAAAAACAGCGTTCTGATTCCGCTCACGACTCCGTCGTTTACGATCAATTGAAAACTGGGTCGTCGGAGTCACAAACAGAAGCGGAAGAACTAAACCAATCGCAAAGCGTGAGAACATGCATTGTGATTGGTTTATCCTTCTACTTCTGCTTCCAGCTCCGACAATCTGGTCTTCACTAGATCGTAAAGGACGTAGTCAGAAGGGTAGTCAGAAGAAAATGGAAACGTTCAATTCTCACTGATTCTTCCGAGCCTTATTCCGTCGCGTTTATGACTACGCTTTTCACAATGTCATAAGCGCTCTTAAGACTCCGCTTGCGGTTCCGACTCCTTGTTCAAGATTGAACTTAATTGTTACAGCCCCTTGTCCCTTAACGTATCTCTTTAACGTGTGGTTACTTGATAATCAGTAAATCGTTTACTTTATGCGGCGTCTTTCTGAAAGCGTTGCCTTTAGCGTTTATTGCGCTCGAGACTTCTTTTGTCCACACGCTACAACATATATACTTTTGGACGGTAAACCATTTTATTTAATTTTGTGGTGAAACCTTGTTGATGTGAAACCTTTGTTTCAGTATATGAGGCCGATAAGTATAAATTGAAGTAATATGGTCATCATGCTTTTATTTTTGTACTTTCAGCTACTTTCCATACGATTCTTTTTTTTTGTAGTTACACTACTCAAGGCAAGACTAATTCCAGATACTTAGGTTAAAAGTGCGACAGTTTTTGAATAGCCGCTGCTTTCTGATCTAGATAAAAGAAAGCGTGGAACATTTTACCAAGAGTACACATGCTCTGTCTTATAAAAGCATCAGTTAAATTGAGAATTCTAGATTTGAATTTTAGTGAGGAACAGTTGAAGAGATTTTTCAGAAGCGCCTCAAATTAGCAAGTCTCTCTGGTCGAAATACTTCAGTCATGACTAGCCCTCTTTCAAACGCCACCATGAAAGAAAAGATAAGAAATTACCAAGTTGAAGCAAATGATATCATCATTTTAATCGTTAACAGCATCAGCTTTCCATTCACAGTTGTACTTAACTTGATGGTGATAATGGCTGTGAAAAGAAGGCGAAGACTTCAGACCAACAGCAACATCTTGCTTGCCTGTCTAGCCGCAACTGACGCCTTAACTGGTCTCATAACGCAGCCAGCGTTTATTCTGTGGAGAACATTTGAAATGACTGGTGTAATAGTGTACAGTGCAGCATACACGATCCACGTGAACGCAATAGGGGTCCTTTCTGTATGTTCGTGTCTTCATCTTATGTTAGTAACTGGCGAGCGGCTTGTAGCGATCAAATTTACCATGCACTACATACATATTGTTACAACAAAAAATATTACGATAGCAGTTACCTCATGTTGGATCGTTTCTGTCATTTCTCAGGTCCTCAAAGCTTTTAAATCGACAACGGATGCCTCGGTCTTTTTCTCTATTCTAGTGATGGGGTCTTGTATCGTTTTTGTTGCCTCTACATACGTTGCTTTGTATTTTGAAGTACGAAGACATCAAAAATTGATCAAAGGTCAGCAGATGCCTCAAGAAGAAGCAGAAAGATTCGCTAAAGAGAACAAAGCACTTAAGACATCTGTATATGTAGTCGGTGCATTAGTGCTGTGTTTCACACCCGTTATTGCTGTTGGCTTAACATTTAAAATAACCGAACGAAAAGAGGTTGCTCTGATGTTCGGGTGGGTGCGTACGATTGCATGTCAAATTCTCTTCTGAATCCACTATTGTACTGTTGGCGGCAAAAACCACTGAGACAGTATCTATTTAAAAGGACAATGGTCGTTCATCCCGTCGAGTAAAAAAAAACCCTTTAATGACAGCAGGTAGAGGGGATACGTCCAATGATGTAAATATGAAAATGTTGCAAATCTCTCAGGTAAAATATGACTAGTTGTAAAATGGGCGTTTCGACGTTAAACTAAGCTGTACCAGTGAGTGGAAATGAGGGATGTATATTGAACTTGGAAAAGAATAAGATTAGTTACTAAAAGTCAGAGTGCAATAAAATGACGCTAAATTCTACTTATAGTTCAGCTATGCGCTCCGGGTTAATCTTCGTTCGTTTCAGCGATCGTTTGGAAAAATTACCACGATTCATACGATTCACCTATTAATTTTTTTTCATTTTAAAGTCATTTGTATTTTTAGAGTCTCGCAGTGAAATCCTGTTTTGTGTATAATTGATCGCCTCCTCATTTCTTTTGATCTCCAAGCAAGCTCGACTCAACGCTTTTAAGAGCGTTCCTGTTTTTTGTTTTTGAAATCCTTACCGCTTTATTTCATTGCCGCAAGGAGAAGCAGAAAGATTCCTCAAAGACAACAAAGCGCTGAAGACAACTGTATATGAAGTCTTTGCTTTAGTCGTGTGTTTTGCGCCCTCGGTTATTTCAACTGAGTTTCAATGTTCTTCTCAAAGATAGGGAGACAAAAAGAGTCAGCTATTGCCTTTCAAAGGTCCCGCTCGTTTGCTATTTTGAATTCGCTTCTGAATCCATTTATTTACTCAGGGGCACCCAACGAGAATATAGCTCAAAACCACTAAAACATAGCATTGTTAAACGTATTTTAGTATTTAATAAACGGTAGATATAGGCATATTTTTATCCCCTAAAATTCTTCATCTGTTCGGATTTCCTAGCTGAAAGTCTAGTGATCCGAAAATCATCAAAACTTACCTTTTCGAAAATTTCAGCCAGAAAGAAGGCTTCCCAAAATTCTAGGTGACCTTTTTCGGGTAAAAATCCGTTAAAAATGGCGAATTATACCATTTTCTAGATATTCAAAAATCCTAGGAGAGGCAGGCAAGCAAGAAATTTTACAACAAATGTTCCGAAAATTCTAGATCTCAAAGCGTCTTCCGAACAGATATTTTTCGAAAATTGACGTTGGGTGCCCCTGTTTACTGTTGGAGGCAGGAAGAAATGAGAAAATTTGTTTTCAAAACAAAAACGCAGGTTGTTCAGCCCATTATGTGACAAACTTAGCATAATAACTAAGTTAAGGATATCCCAAACGGCGTTTCTCTAAATCCATATTATACAAAAGTATTGTCATTGGGCGCATGGGTTAATCAGTGAAAAAAAACAAAAATTCATAAAAATAAAATAAAATTAAGAAAAACGTATTTAAAAAAATCCGAAGCAAAGTTAAATTTATATATAAAATCCCTGTTATGTTTTAACAGTTACACGTTTGAGTAAATGCAGCCGAATGGACTGTATACAACTTATATCACACAATATGCTTACTGTCTTATATAGTTAATAAAGATAATTCTTTAAAAAGGGTGTACCACTAGGTGTTTTTACTGAGTAGCGCCCCCAAATGTTCGAAACTTGAAAACCGTCAAAAATTGTTAATTGTACAGAAAGAATACATATTATTGTGAATATCTTACTAAAACCTCAAGCCTGTTCGTTTGTCTGGGTTATAATCTATCAGACAAGATATTTCAAATTGTCTGAACTTGCAACAGAATAATGAAAGAAAATTGGAAGACTACATAATCATGCATCTTATACTATACTCCTCTGGGGCTCCAAATGCAGGGTTTCATGTCCTTTATATACACACAAACAACAAACAAACAGACAAACAAAAAATACAACGTCTGCTATCCAGATTTATTTTTCTCCTTAAAACATATATTTGCGTATCATTTTTGAAAGGTGAACCATTTTATTTAATGTTATGTTAAAGCATGTTTACGTAGAACCTTTGATTTACCATCAGATACGATGAGAATAAGTTAAACGTAGTGCATTCATTTTGTATCTATTTTTATACGATTTAAATATTTTTTAATTATTTTATTTAAGGCAAGACTAATTCCAGCTACTTAATAGATTAAAAGTGTTGTTATTCAATAGCAGCCATATGAGAGAGCGTGGAAATTTCTAAATTGCGTTCGAATGGTTACCTTTGGAATAATGGTTGCAGATGATTCATTTTGTTATCAAAGTTGAGAAGTTTATGCTATTCAGCGAACTATGGGGATGAGTCAAATCAGGAATATGGCTTGGACAGAGCAACGTTTTTCATTTCTTTATTTCTTCCTTTCTTTTTGTATCAAGAACAAATTATCAGCGCAGTATCTTCAATGCTTTTGTACCTTTTTAAATAAATATAACACGAGGGAAATACAAGAATTTCAGCGTTCCTGGTATTTAACGATGATGTAAAATATTTTTATTCCCTTAACGAACTGAACACAAAACAGCATTAATTTTCTGCAAGCCAACAGTGTTTTCAGCTAGTTCTTAATTAACCGAATTATTCCCCGTAGCATTTCTAAACAATAGTCATTATAATTATTTTCTCCGAAACGCTCGATCAAAAATCATCCTAAATAAACAAAAGGCTCTGCGAAAGAGTGGCATATTTCAGTATCCGTTACTTGACTCAAACTATATAAAATAGAGTTTCTACGCTAAACATTTGTTGTCAGGCTTCTCGCACGATGAGTTTAGGTTGCGTTCTCTTAACGTCGAACGCGAAAATGGCATTTGCTGTAAGCACTAGTTGAGAGAATTGTTCAAAGAGGTCCTAATATCTAAGATAACAAAGCGAATGGGGATCATTCTTCTATTACGGAGTCGCACGTTTGCCATATTGAATTCGCTTTTAAACCAGTTGATATACTAGTCAGAGCGACTTTTGAAGTTTATTTTTAAGATCAAACTGTAGCTCTTTACCTTCTGAATGACAATACTAGCATTGAAACTGTACAGTTTAGTAATGTTTAAGTCTGAAGCTAAAAAAAGTCCTCTTTTTTTAACTATACACACCAGCAGATTGTATAGGCCTTATGTAAAAATATACAATAATACTCCTTGCTTTCTCTTCAAGCCCATTCGATATACGAAACTAACTTCATGTTAAAGACATTTGAAGTGCCAGTCACTGCACTCAACAAGTTATCAGTCTTTAATCTTTAAAAAGTATCTCCACCAATTGCTGATGTGCCACTGGAGCATCACTGAGACTTAATCCAGCGTTGACTACTGAATCAAAGAAAAAAGAATAAATTGATAATGAATAAATAAATAAATAAATAAATAAACAAATATATAAATAAGTAAACCGTAGTACATGCAGGCAAATTTGCATCAATTTAGGTTTCTAGGAAACTGCCCACCTACCCCTCCCCTAACCCAACATTTTGCCCTAAGTGAAAAGTAAGTGTTAATGTTGACTTTGGGCATGGATAATAGAAAGACTCCAGTCTTTCTATTATCCATGCTTTGGGGAGGGGTAGGTGGGCAGTTTCCCAGAAACCTAAAAAAATGCAAACTTGACCCATTATGGGATAAAATAGCAAGCTGGTAGACTACCTAAGAACGGTTAAATAGTGATTCCAATGCCCTAAATATGAGTCCAAATCCAAGGCTCCAACAGGTTTGATTCTCAACCTTCTAAAAGTTACCTTCGGGGGAGGGAGGGTGGGGAAGGGAGACGTACTGAAAAAGTGGAATATCTTATTTAGGATTGTTATTACTAAGCTAACCCCTTCGTCCTTGAATTGCTCGTAACCGCCTGTGCGGATCCAAGTCCCTTCTGCCGCTTGTGACGTCATTAGTTTCAACGGTCAAGAACAACTTTGTCAACTAATCTGTGCAGGGTGATCATGCCATAATGAGCATGATGAGCAGATTCAGTCACGGAGGCCAGGGAAAAAGGCAAAAAAAAAAAACAGTGTAACGCTGACCCAAAAATTCCCAGCAAGAAAAGTGAAAGTAGACTGGTGGGGAGGAGAGAAAGCGAAAAGAAAAAGTCAAGACTCGAAATTTTTCTTTCTTCGCATGCCCGATCTTCGCAAGCTAATATTTTGCATCTGGATTCGAATGCCGCGACTGATCTAGATCTACATCTTCAGAGCCAGACAGTGACCAAAAACGGCTCAGCTAGCTTCAAAACGAGATTTTTTTTTTCGGCGAAATTCCCAGAGGCGAAAGGGTTAAGTAGTCAGAGGGTATCTAATGGAAAATTAGCCTTCAAGCACGCTCTCCATTTGGGAGATATCGTGAGAAGTCACGCGCGATTGCCACACGAGAGAAGACGCAAGACTCTCGCTTGCGTGTTCTCGCGCGGTTAGCTTCGTTCACCACTCAAAATAGAGAGCTTGCGACCAGGCTAAAGGATAACAAGCAGTTTTTCCACAAACCCTTATTAACTGTATTTGTCCTTTTGATTTCCTCCATTAACTTTTTGCTGTTAAATTCCTTACTGGCTGCTTCCAGTTGTGACAGCAAGATACCTACATTCTGAACAAACAACAATTCAAACTTACTTAAGGTCCCTAAGCGAATTAACCCTTTGAACCCTGAGAGTAACTGACAAAAATATATTTTCTACTTACAATAGCAGTACCTAATCAAGACAAAAGGTTATAAGAATTAATGAAATGATCACCTAAGGAAAATTACTTTAATCTTTAAACAAATTCTGTCAAAAAAACCCTCAATTTAAAACTGAGGCCAAGGGCACAACCTTTCTTGTGAAGATGAGTTTTATTTGCATGAGAACGAAAAATCATTTAATTATCGAAGGCTGAACACTTAACCTCGTTTTGATACAGAGGCCAGGGGGAACTCAAAAATGGCCCATTGCGTATACCACCCTTTTATACCATTATCTTCACAACAGCCTTCAGAATCGTTCAAATAGTTGCCTGGTTTAGCCCAAACCACAGAACTGCAAATCGATCCACAACACAGGTGACTGAGAACTCTTGGTCAAGAGTTTGTTATAAAACGTGTGATTAGAAGGCATCGTGAACTTTGGGGAAACAAATAAATTGCTGTTTGCCAAAGCGTCTCAGACAAGCTTTAAAACCCACTGGTTTAAATTCTACAAACTTGACAAGGACTCAAGAAAGTCCAGAGAAAAGTTAGCATTCAGCCTCGTTTCTATCTGTAACTGTAAAATGGGCCATTGCAGTAAAAGAAAGAAAGAGATAGAGAAAGCATGAGTAATAGGAAAAAGAAAGCAAGAAAGCCTCTAATAACGTCAATGCCCACGTAAAACATTGGCGCTCAAGCGAAGCAGGTTTAACCTTAGATCAAGTTTGTATGCCTAATAAAAATACGGCCTGTGTCTATAAGCAACAAAAGAAAAAAAAAAGAAAAAATCTGTAGATCTATGTGTATAGTGGAGAGCTTACTACGATTTTTTTTCCAGAATCAACTTAAAGGTGCAATTTGTAAAGTGTTAAACGAAATTGCAATAACACTGTGACAGAAAATAGACAGGTGAAAAAAGGCCAAATATAGAAATTTAATAGGCACGCATGGATCCCAGGAAGGCATTCGCAAGGTTCGCAATTGAAAGGAGAAATGTGGCACATAGGTTTTAATTTGACATAATGAGAAGAGAGAACCTAATAATTTCCCTGGTTAAAGGCTAGTTTTCACTCCTAGCGACGGAATCGGAGTCGTAATCAGAAGCGTCAGGGAACTTTACGATCTAGTAAAAACAGCGTTCTGATTCCGCTCACGACTCCGTCGTTTACGATCAATTGAAAACTGGGTCGTCGGAGTCACAAACAGAAGCGGAAGAACTAAACCAATCAGAAAAGCGTGGGAACATGCATTGTGATTGGTTTATCCTTCTGCTTCTGCTTCCAACTCCGACAATCTGGTTTTCACCAGATCGTAAAGGACGGAGTCAGAAGGGGAGTCAGAAGAAAATGAAACCGTTCAATTCTGATTCTTCCGAGTCTTATTCCGTCGCGTTTAAGACTACGATTTTCACAATGCGATAAGCGCTTTTAAGACTCCGCTTGCGATTCCGACTCCTTGTTATATTGAACTTAATTGTTACAGCCTCTTGTCCCTTAACGGATCTCTTTAACGTGTGGGTGATAATCAGTAAATCGCTTACTTTATGCGTCTTTCTGAAAGCGTTGCCTTTAGCGTTTATAGTGCTGAAGACTTGGCCACACGCTATAACATATATACTTTTGGACGGTAAACCATTTTATTTAATTTTATGATGAAAGAGGGTCTAAATCATGAAACCTTGTTTATGTGAAACCTTTGTTTCAGTATATGAAGCCGATAAGTATAAATTTAAGTAATGTCGTCATCATGCTTTTATTTTTGTACTTTCCATACGATTCATATTGTCTTTTTAATCACACTACTCAAGGCAAGACTAATTCCAGATAAAAGTGCGGCTTTGTTTGAATAGCGGCTGCTTTCCGATCTAGATAAAAGAAAGTGTGGAACATTTTACCAGGAGTACACATGCTCTGTTATAAAGGCATCGGTTAAATTGAGAATTCTAGATTTGAATTTTGAGGAACAGTTGAAGAGATTTTTCTGAAGCGCCTCAAATTAGCAAGTCTCTCTGGTCGAAGACTTCAATCATGACTAGCCCTCTTTCAAACGCCACCATAAAAGAAAAGATAAGAAATTACCAAGTTGAAGCAAGTGATATCATCATTTTAATCGTTAACAGCATCAGCTGTCCATTCACAGTTGTACTTAACTTGATGGTGATAATGGCTGTGAAAAGAAGGCGAAGACTTCAGACCAACAGCAACATCTTGCTTGCCTGTCTAGCCGCAACTGACGCCTTAACTGGTCTCATAACGCAGCCAGCGTTTATTCTGTGGAGAACATTNACTTCAATCATGACTAGCCCTCTTTCAAACGCCACCATAAAAGAAAAGATAAGAAATTACCAAGTTGAAGCAAGTGATATCATCATTTTAATCGTTAACAGCATCAGCTGTCCATTCACAGTTGTACTTAACTTGATGGTGATAATGGCTGTGAAAAGAAGGCGAAGACTTCAGACCAACAGCAACATCTTGCTTGCCTGTCTAGCCGCAACTGACGCCTTAACTGGTCTCATAACGCAGCCAGCGTTTATTCTGTGGAGAACATTCGAAATGACTGGTGTGATCGTGTACAGTGCAGCACACATGGTCCACGTGAACGCAATAGGGGTCCTTTCTGTGTGTTCGTGTCTTCATCTTATGTTAGTAACTGGCGAGCGGCTCGTAGCGATCAAATTTACCATGCACTACATACATATTGTTACAACAAAAAATATTACGATAGCAGTTACCTCATGTTGGATCGTTTCTGTCATTTCTCAGGTCCTCAAATCTTTTAAATGGACAGTGGATGCTTCGGTCTTTTTCTCTCTTCTAGTGATAGGATCTTGTATCGTTTTCGTTGCCTCTGCATACGTTGCTTTGTATTTTGAAGTACGAAGATATCAAAAATTGATCAAAGGTCAGCAGATGCCTCAAGAAGAAGCAGAAAGATTCGTTAAAGAGAACAAAGCGCTGAAGACAGCTATATATATAGTCGGTGCATTAGTGCTGTGTTTGACACCCGCTGTTGCTGTTGGGTTAACATTTAAAATAACCGACCGAAAAGAGGTTGCTCTGCTGTTCGCGTGGATTCGCACGATTGTCATGTCAAATTCTCTTCTGAATCCACTGTTGTACTGTTGGCGGCAAAAACCACTGAGACAATATATATTTAAAACCACATTGGTCGTTCATCCCGTCGAGTAACAAAATAAAAAACCGTTCAATGACAGCAGGTACACGAGGATAAGTCCGATGATGTAAATATGAAAATGTTGCCAAAGTTTTAGGTAAAATAGGACTAGGAGACCAGCTAATTGTAAAATAGGAGTTTCAACGTTAATGTAAGCGGTACCAGTGAATGGAAATGAAAGATGTTACTTGGGTAATAAATGCTCCTATTGAATTTGCAGAGGAATAAAAAAGTCAGAGTGTAATAAAATGACGCTAAATCCTACTTATAACTCAGCTACGCGTTCCGGGTTAATCTTCGTTCGTTTCAGCGATCGTTTGAAAAAATTACGACGATTCACCTTTTAATTTTTTTTTTCATTTCTAAGTCGATGAGCGAGGAGAAACGCCTGCCGTTCGCAGGCTTTTATACGAATGTCCATTGGTTCCATTACTTCCATTACTTTCATTATGAGGAAAATAGTTCTTTTAAAAATCATTATTTTTTTTATAAGCCGCAATTACGTTTTTTAATAGTATGGTAATATTAACATGGAAAACATAATTTTGTTAAAAAGCACATTACCTTCTGCACGCAAGCACTGCAAATTCGTGTCGGCAACAGCGAAAACTTACTGGTTGGGTAAGTCGTTTAAAACGTCCTTCAAGATGGCCAAGCCAACCTCACGGTCACAGGTTACAATCAGCTGGCTACAGGCCACGTGCAAACGTTAAAAACTACAGCTACCGTAGAATACATGACAAGGTTTCTTATAAAAACGGTATTTTCATTATTCTCTTATATCATTTTTGATTAACTGGCTAGGGTAATCCAGCCGCCAAGATTAAAAAAAGTTGCCGCCGTCGTTGCTTATTAAAAGAACGTCCTAAACACTAAAGATTTGAATGGAGCGTGGTAAGGAGGCAACAACGAGCTGTGAACCTTAGGCGAAGCAGATAAAACTGGCTGCTAGAGCCTTAAGATTGGCTAAACTTAGAGGCTGAAAGTCCAAAAACTTGATTGGGATGCCTAGAGACACTGCCAGAGACAACGCCTCTAAAGAAGAGATGACATTAATTCCCCTAGTTGAAGCAACTGAGGTAACCAACTTGATTATTCACAGCATCGCTTGTCCCTTCGCAATTCTCCTCACCGATGTGATGGTGATGTTGGCTGTAAAAAGGAGACGAAGACTTCAGACCAAAAGCAACATCTTACTGGACTGTCTATAGCCGCAACCTACGAGTTAACCAGTCTAATCGCGCAGCCGGCGTTTATTCTCTGGAAAACATTTAAATTGACTGGTGTACTCATAGGCAATTCCAATCCACCACGAGTGATTCATAGCTCTGCAATTCGCGTCCTCTCCGTTTGTTCCTGTCTTCATCTCATGCTTGTAACTGGCGAAAGACTAGTAGCGATTAAATTTACCATGCAACACCCATATATTGTTACTAGACAAAACAATAAGGCAGCAGTAATCTCGTGCTGGATAGTCTGTCTCGCTTCTGAGGGTTTTTAATTTTTTGAACATACAGAGATTATTTCGTTCATTTCCATCACTGTAGCCCTGAGTTCTAGCGTCGTTTTCGTTGCCTTTGCATTTCTCGTTTTTAACCTCGAAACACGGCGCCATCTGAAGATTATGAAAACTCAACAGATGCCGCACGGAGAAGCAGAAAGATTCCTCAAATATAACAAAGCGCTGAAGACAACTGTATAGGTAGTCTTTGTTTCGCGCCCTTGGTTATTTCAACTCCAGTTTCAATGTTCTTCTCAAAGATAGGGGGACAAAAAGAGTCAGCCATTACCTTTCAATGGTCCCGCACGTTTGCTATTTTGAATTCGCTTCTGAATCCATTTATTTACTGTTGGAGGCAAGAAGAAATGAGAAAGTTTGTTTTCAAAATATAGACGCAGGTTGTTCACCCTGTTATGTGACAAACCTAGCGTAATAACTGTAAGTTAAGGTTATCCTGTACCAGCATCTAAATACTAATAGGATACCCTACGGCGTTTCTCTGAATCCATATTATACAAAGGTATTGTCAAAAAAAAAAAAAACTAATTAAAAAATTAAAATGTCGAAAAATATATTTAAAAAATCCGAAGCAAAACTGCATTTATAAATAAAATCACTGTTATGTTTTAATAAGTACACGTTTGAGTAAAGGCAGCCGAATAGACTGTGTACAAGTTATATCACACAATATGTTTACTAACTGTCTCATATAGTTAAGGTGGCTCGATACAGTTTTTCAGGGTCAATTCCTCCCAAGTTTGAGCATAAACTACGTCGCCATAAACAAAGTTTTGGAAAAATTGCCATCACAGTTTTTCTAGATGAAGATGAAAATTTGTTATGATCAGGGTTGCAACGGCCTCAGAGTTGTCATAGCAACGAAATGACGCTATTACCTATTTTACTTGCAGCAGTATATCTCGGCACTGGGAACTGTTCTTCGAAAATCATTCACGGGAGCTTTTTCCTCCAATAGCAGTATCGATGTTCGTGAAGTTTAAGCGAAATGTGTAAGAGCGTTATCGAGATATTTTGGGATAAAGATTTTGTCGTTAGAAATACTGTAAAAAATGGACAATCTTGGTGTTCGGCTGTTATCTGTAGAAAACGAAAAGCTTTTGACATGCAATTTCACCTCATAGTAGTTTCAATCTTTTTAAAAACGTGAGTGAAAGATCAAGGAGATAGCTCCAGCCGTTTGCTAGAAAGAAGGATTTGATTACTATGTATCGAGGCGCTCTTGTTAGCTTTTTTTTGAACATTTTGGTCTACTTTAACAAATTAGCGAATAATTTCTAAACCGCTCGATAGATTTTTTAAAAAAATTAATATTCTTGAGATTAACCCTCCTTTTATATTACCTTTTAGTTTCAAGGTTATTGATATATTGTAAGGCGGTAAAATAAGGGCTAGCACTCCCAAATGTTCGAAACTTGAAAACCGTCAAAAGTTGTTAATTGTACAGCAAGAATATATATTATGAATATTTTACTGAAACCTTGGGCCTGTTTGTTTGTCTAGGTTATAATCTATCAGACAAGATATTTCAGATTGTCTGAACTTGCAACTGAACAATGAAAGAAAACTGGTGAGACTACATAGTGATGCATCTTATACTATACTCCTCTGGGGCTCCAAATGCAGGGTTTCATGTCCTTTATATACACACAAACAACAAACAAACAGACAAACAAAAAATACAACGTCCGCTATCCAGATTTATTTTCCTCCTTAAAACATATATTTGCGTATCATTTTTGAAAGGTGAACCATTTTATTTAATGTTATGTTGAGGCATGTTTATGTAGAACCTTTGATTTACCATCAGATACGATGAGAATAAGTTAAACGTAGTGCATTCATTTTGTATCTATTTTTATACGATCTAAATATTTTTTAATTATTTTATTTAAGGCAAGACTAATTCCAGCTACTTAATAGATTAGAAGTGTTGTTATTGAATAGCAGTCATATGAGAGAGTGTGGAAATTTCTAAATTGCGTTCGAATGGCTACCTTTGGAATTGTGGTTGCAGATGATTCATTTTGTTACCAAAGTTGTGAAGTTTATGCTATTCAGCGAACTATGGGGATGAGCCGAATTATTCCCCGTAGTATTTCTAAACAACAGTCATTATAATTATTTTCTCCCAGGCGCTCGATCAAAAATCAACCTAAATAAGCAAAAGGCTCTGCGAAAGAGTGGCATATTTCGGTATCCGTTACTTGACTCAAACTATATAAAACGCGTACAGCTTCTATGCTAAACATTCGTTGTCAGGCTTCTCGCACATTGAGCTTAGGTTGCGTTCTCTTAACGTCGAACGCAAAAATGGCATTTGCTGTGAAGCACTAAATTAGAAGTCCATAGTTGAGAGAATTGTTTCAGGAGGTCCTAATATCTAAGATAACGAAGCAAATGGGGATTGTTCTTCTATTAGGGAGCCGCACGTTTGCCATATTGAATTCGCTTTTAACCCTTTCACTGCCAAATGTGGCCAAAGCCAAATTTCGACCACATTTGCGAATTTCATTTTCTAAAATTTTGACAAACAAATAGCATCATGTGGAAGTACTGGCAGAGAGCTTTTATGTGAATGGTCACATCATAGGATTTCGTCCATATACTCAAAAGTTAGAGTCACCTTACAAAATTCCATCAAACACTCTGGCAGTGAAAGGCTTAAACCAGTTGATTTACGAGTCAGAGCGACTACGGAAGTTTATTTTTAAGATCAAACTGTAGCCCTTTACTTTCTAAAAGACAATACTTAAGCACTGAAACTGTACAGTTTAGTAATGTTTAAGTCTGAAACTGAAAAAAGTCCTTTCTTCAACTATACACACCAGCAGATTGTATAGGCCTTATGCAAAAATATACAATAATACTCTTTGCTTTCTCTTCAAGGCCATTCGATATACGAAACTAACTTCATGTTAAAGATGATGGAAGCGCCAGTCACAGCACTCAACAACTTATCGGTCTTTAATCTTTAAAAAGTATCTCCACTAATTGCTGATGTGTCACTGGAGCATCACTGAGACTTAATCCAGCGTTGACTACTGACGAAAAAAGAATAAAGTGATAATGAATGAATAAATAAATAAATAAATAAATAAATAAATAAGTGAATAAATAAATAAATAAATAAATAAGTAAACCGTAGTATATGGAGGCAAATTTGAATCAATTTAGGTTTCTGGGAAACTGCCCACCTACCCCTCCCCTAACCCAAAATTTTGCCCTAAGTGAGAAGTAAGTATTAATGTTGGGTTAGGGGAGGGGTAGGTGGGCAGTTTCCCAGAAACCTAACTTGATCCGCGAATTTTAAATCGCGTGAGGAAACCAAGCGACGACGATAACGGTGACGAAACGTCTCTAAGAAAGTGAATTTACGCTGTTTCAAACTTCACTGGTCTTCTTCCATGTCTTTCAATTTGTCAAATACTAGTGAATTTTTTTAGAGTTAAATTCTAAGTTAAAAAAAAAAAGAAAGGAAGAAGAAGAGATTTGTCACGTGTTCACGTCTTCCACAAAACGTGAAATTACTACGTAGGCCGTGGTCATGCGACGTCGGCCAAGAAATGTACAAAAACGTGTGATAAAACGTGTTAACTAAGTTTTCGTTTCGGTAATCTAAACCTACGTTCTCGTTGCTGCCGTCGTCGCCTTTGCTTTAATTCACGACTAGCTCAAAACAACTGCTTCTTCCCTAGAGTGGTGAATTCCTATTCCCATTTTTAAATGTTCCCCCCGTCTTCGCCACATGACAGGTCCTTTTGACAGGTCCTTTTCTTCCCCACCCCCGCCCCCCAAATGGATGGTAGGCCATTCTGACAGACTACCGGTAAAGCTTCCGATTATAAGCGCCCCTCCTCCCACTTTTAATCCCCCTCCATTTATAGATCCTCCTAAAACCCCTTACGAAGTTGTATAATCCCAGGGCTTCTAATCGGAAGTTTTTACGTTAACTTAGTGCCAATTCATATTTCGACACCCTCATATTGGAAATAGGAATGAATAAGAGATTGTTTACCATTTACATGGGAAACTAATCTGTGCAGGGTGATCATACCAGGATGAGAGCGATTCAGTCAAGGAGGCCGGGGGAAAAGGCAAAAAAAAAAGGTACTGCTGCACGAAAATTCCCAGCAAGAAAAGCGACAAAAGACTGGTGGTGACGAGAGAAAGAGAAAAGAAAACGTCAAGACTCGAAATTTTGCTTTCTTCGCAAGCTAATATTTTGCATCTGGATCAGAATGCCGCGAAGGATCCAGATCTACATCTTTATAGCCAGACACTGACCAAAAATTGCTCGGCTAGCTTCAAAACGCGTTTTTTGGCGAAATTCCCAGAGGTGAAAGGGTTAAGTAGTCAGAAGGTATCTAACGGAAAATTAGCCTTCGCGCACGCTCCCCATTAGGGAGATATCGTGAGAAGTCACGCGCGATCACCACACGAGAGAGGACGCGAGAGTCTCGCTTGCGTGTTCTCGCGCGGCTAGCTTCGTTAACCACTCAAAATAGAGAGCTTGCGACCAGGCTAAAGGATAACAAGCAGTTTTTCCACAAACCCTTATTAACTGTATTTGTCCTTTTGATTTCCTCCATTAACTTTTTGCTGTTAAATTCCTTACTGGCTGCTTCCAGTTGTGACACCAAGATACCTACATTCTGAACCAACCACAATTNAGAGCTTGCGACCAGGCTAAAGGATAACAAGCAGTTTTTCCACAAACCCTTATTAACTGTATTTGTCCTTTTGATTTCCTCCATTAACTTTTTGCTGTTAAATTCCTTACTGGCTGCTTCCAGTTGTGACACCAAGATACCTACATTCTGAACCAACCACAATTCAAACTTACTTAAAGTCCCTAAGCGCATTAACCCTTTGAGCCCTGATAGTAACTGACAAACATATATTTTCTCCTTACAACATCAATACCTAATCAAGACAAAAGGTTATAAGAAATAACGAGGTGTTCACCTAAGGAAAAATACTTTAATCTTTAAACAAATTCTGTCAACCATTTCTTTAAGGAAATGCGTGGAGAGAGTTACACTGTAGCACTGAAGATCAAAAGAAAACGGTATAGACAGTGGTATTGTCGCTATTTGGTAAGACTACGAGTAGTCCCCTTTTTTCCTCAGGGATAGGAGAGCGAGTGAAACGCGAGCGCGCTTGAAAATTACCCCACGCGAACTGAAAAAGGCGAGACGCCGCAGTGTAGTCTACTATTTGGCCAGGGCATTAAGCTACGGTAAAACGGGCAACAAAGACGCGCACATTGTTTAATTGCAACATTGCTGCAAAACTAGTTGAAAAGCTATGTTGTACGTTTTACCACACACACACACACACACAAAATAAATCAAAAAAAGGCTATTCTTGCAGCTTCAGGCTACTATCGTTTTGAAGTCTGTGTAATTCACCGGCTTTGAGCCTCACCTTAGGGACCGGTCATTATTTATCGCTTGGGGGGGAGGGGAGGATTTGGGGCTAAACAAGGTGAAATTTAGCCGATCCCCCCTTTGAATGTTACTTCACTGAAGTGATCCCCCCTAATAACTTTTGGTGACTTTCGCGATCCTCCCCCATGTCTTCATTTTCCAAGCAAATTTGAGTGGTCCCCTCTTTGAGTCCTTCCAAAGTTTTCAGTGATCCGCCCTTTTGGGTTCTCGGTTACGACTGACCTCCCCCCTTTATTCTCCTAAAAATCAAGTGTTCTCCCCCCCAAAAAAATCCTCCGCCCTCCGTGAAACAGGATCGAAACTTCGTCAAATCAGACACTTCTGCGTTTCAAAAACCCTCACTTTGAAAATGAGGCCAAGTGCATAACCTTTCGTGTGAAAATGAGTTTTATTTGCATGAGAATGAAAAATCATTTCCATATCAAAGGCTGGGCACTTAACCTCGTTTTGATACAGAGGCTCGGAGGAACTCGGAAATGGCCCATTTCGTATACCACCCTTTTATACCATTATCTTAACAAAAGCCCTCAGAATCGTTCCAATAGTTGTGTGGGTCAAGCCAAAACCACAGACAGCAAATCCCGCCAGACGCACATTGTATTGGCCATTTCAGAGTTGCATAGGGAACTGGGGCGAGTTTCAAATGTAAACAAATCAATAAACTGACACCACCATATAAAAGGTCATGTTGAGATTGGTTATTTGACCAACTTTGGTGCTCTAAAGTTGAATGGGGATCAAGTTATGACTCTTGAAACGTGGTTAAAGATCCACGCAAACGTCTGTAATTTTGTGACCACTTCCCCCCAAACCATATAAACTCTTTAAAATACTTTTCAGTTTTTTTGTTAAACTGTAAAATTCGTCATGCATCTAGCTACTACTTACAGACATTGTATGGATCTTAAACCATGTTTCAAGAGTCATAACTTGATCCCTGATGAACTTTAAAGCACCAAACTTGGTCAAATAACCAATCTCAACATGATCTTCTATAAGGTGGTGTCAGTTTATCGATTAGTTTAAATTTGAAACTCGCCCCAGTTCACTACGCAACTCCACAATGGCCAATATGGCAGAGGTTCTCTTCTGTCTTTCCCCTTCCCATTGTGCCCCGCGTGCTTTCTTTTTCTTTCTCCCCAGCCTCCCTGCGACACAAAGAGTCCTCTGGGGAGGAGAGATGGGGAGTTATGTCACCTGTTGCATAACAAGTTTGCCTCGGGCTAGTAAAAAGCACAAAATGTACTGATTCACATGTGGGTAGTCAGGGTTTGCGCCTCATTTGATGTGGCATGTAAATTTTATGCGGCATTTTTTCTAAATTGCGGAAATCCAGCAAGGCCGCGCCCTAGAATAAACCCTGGGTAGTACAATGCACAACATCACTATTTAACTTGTTTTGCTGCAACGTTGCATAACAAGTTACACATTCTTGTTGCCTGTTTTACCGTTTAGATTTGCACACAAGTAATTGCAATTTCTTTTAAAAACTGTAAAAGTTAATACAGTTTACCAAAACATACCTTATGTTCAAAGTGCTTTTGTTTAACATCATTATGCAACTTTTCCAGGTCAGCAACTCTTCCTTTAATTTCATGAAAACTGGGTAGAAGAAAACTAAAATGTGAATTTATTGATCAAAACAAAATTTATTTACATAATATATGCAATAAATAAACAACAACACATGATTCATAAGTGCTGCTGAATATGAAAGTCTCATGTACCTCAAAACAAAGAAAAAAGTAATTTTGTAAATGTTGCCATGCATTAAATAACATACAACTAAAACAGAATTGTCAGTTTGTGCAGGTTCTCTCCCTTGGTCCGAGAGGTTTTACTCATGTAGTCCAAATTCCCTTCTCCTCAAAAAGCAACACTTTCAAGTTACGATTTGTTCTGGAACACCAGGACACGTTTAAATGAGTTCTTGGAACTCTTAAGTGCTTTGTCAGTAAACAAATTTACAGGTTTTATTATTATTATTATTATTATTATTATTATTATTATTATTATTATTATTATTATCAGTGGTAGTGGAAGTGGTAGTGGTAGTGGTAGTGGTAGTAGCAGTAGTAGTGGCAAATAACATTAATTTTTTCCACCATTATGTAATGGACAAAACAATAACCTTGCTTGTAGCTGCTCATTTAACATGTTGGACTCTGGATCAGTTTGTTCAGGCCTTGTTTGTTGTAACCTACTAAGTATTTTTCTCTGTGCAGTTCGGTTGAAACTTCGCATTAGTTCATCCTCATTTTTATGGTTGACTGGAAAAAAAAACATAAAGAAATAAATACAATAGCTGTGCACTGTAGCATCACTACATTTTGAAACTAACAATAAATTAATGTTGTATAGTTCAAAATAAAATTCAGGTTAAATTATTTGTTGTCTCCTCCTAAGCTCTAATTAATTATTCATGATCATGGAAAACTTCGTCAATGAAGGTCCTTTGTATCCTTATCATAAAATGATTCAAAATACATCAATATGAATAATGATTATGACTAGGAGACAAATTGACAGCCAAAGTAGATTGAATCAATATTTTCACCTGAATCTCATTAAGAGCTTCTGTACAACACCAACATCAGGACTGCAAATAACAGAAGGACATTGGAAATTGACCAACTGGCATTTGCTGGTGTCCGATGAAATCCCACAAACGTTCGGACATTATGTCCAAAGATTTTTGGCATGATAAAATCTCTTCTTTTTATCCATCGGTAGTTCGGTAATTTTAAATATATAAAGTTCAACCTTTTTTTGGTGATGTCTGACCAAGATAGTGTACATCTTAGTAGGACATGTAACCTGCATTGCAACCGGCCCATATTTCCTTTCAAGAGAAAAAAAGTTATTCGCAGCTCTTCTCTGGTTGTTGAAACACAAACTTACATAACTTAGTAAGGAAAATGGTTTCACTGAAAAATTTAAAAAGCTTTTTCCTCAGCCCAACTTAAACTACACAGGGGATTAATATTAATAACAGTATGTAATTTGATTAATAATAGAATAATTAATACAATAATATAATAACAACATAATATATTATAATTCTATTTAACTCCCTGTGAAAATGTAATATTAATGTTTATTACATTTTCAAAGGGAGTTTTAAAAACCTTTATCAGTAATCTAAAAAGAAAACTGGCAAAAAAAAATTCTTGTTTTTTTACCTTTCTTCAGAGCCCTGTGAATAACCTCTACAGGAATATGCTTTGGATCGTTTTCTAAAGAAAGAGAATTATCAACAATTATAAAACAGTTGTCAGCTACAAGGTACTACCAATTCAGGGTTCAGGCCCTTAAGTCAATAATGTTGATAATATCTAATTATTATAAAGTCCTGAGACATTATTAACAGATTACTGACCTCTAATCTTAGATAAAGCTGTGCAATCCACCTCTAACTCAAATGGAGTCTTCAGTACTCTGATCTGTTGCTGCAGGAAATCACGATCACTCTGCTGGACATCAGCATCATGCAGAAATGTGGAATCTCCATTGTCTGACAAGTTAACGTTCCCATCTAATTCACAGGCTGATAAGTCCTCACTGTGATCTACTAATGGCTGATTAATACGTTTATCAGTAGTTTCCATTGAGGAAGTAGATTCATCTTGTTTAGTTTCTAATTCTTTCCTCTTTGACTTATTTTTTCTTCTGATTACAGCACTTTTGCTAGTTTTATGACCACTTTTGTTTTCAGCAGGTGTTTTTCTTTTCCTTGATCTGCTTGTCACATTTTCATCAGCCTCTTTTTTCTGAGAATCTCTAGATCTTGTCATTGGTGTTTTCTTTTTCTTTGGCAACTCAGCAAACTGTTGGCTAGTACTTGCATCTTCCTGGATAAAAATAAATAAATAAATAAATAAATTATTATTTTGCATGAAAACTGTATTAAAGGGACACCATTTTAAGTCGACACCTTGACTGAAATAGTAACAATCCATAACAATTCCCATTTTTGTTTATTTGTTTGTTTGTTTTTTTTTACAACAGATCTGTATTAAGCTGCAACTTCTTCTAAGAAGACACTGATAAAGCCTTGAAGTTATCTGTTCATATGTATATTTACACTATTATTCCATGTATAACTGGGTGAAAATAAAACAATTGCTATACCATTAAAGCACTTCACTGTGAGATTCATAACATCAAGGTTCACATGCATTTCCTTTCCTTAGCATAAAAAGCTCAACAGAGCTTGCCTGATCTCCTGCCATGCAGTTATATTTTTCTTATAGGTTATGTGTATGAATGTATGGTAAATAAAAGCAAAATGAAGTCTTGAACTTAAAATTTCTGACATACTCTGGAGTCTGACAAAACAGCCAATATTTCACTACACAACTGGTTATGCCAAATTCTGTAAAAATTGTTATTATTTGTTCTTCAAATTTATTCCAAATGATTTCTTTCCCGGATGTAAAGGTAAATAAAGAAGAAGGAGAAAAAAAACTCAAGTCAATGAATTACCGTCTTTGAACTAAGAGAAGAAGAAGGAAAAAAACATTCAAGTCAATGAATTACTGTCTTTGAACTAAGAGAAAATCTGTGAGGGAGTAGTGCATGTGTGTAGGCCAAACCAAGTGGCAGTTACAGACTCTGAACAGTCAACTGAAACAAAAGAAAAGAAATTGTAGCATTCATAAACAAAAACTTTATTGAGTCAATTGAAACTCCCGTAATTCGAAAATTCCAATGTTATGACACTGTGCTGCAGCCAAAAACTTTATTGGAGATATTTCCTTGTAAAGCCAAAATCATTTTTCTTAGGATTGCGGAACATTTCCACTTTTCCAGTTGACAGACGATTTTCATCCGCAAATTGGAAACCCCTGTGATCAAGACAACCTCGTTCCCAGGGTTCTCTTCTACCCGCTCCGTAGGGCGGGTAGGAGAGAACCCTGGGAACGAAAGAGCCACTGGAGACGTCTGAGTATTCCAAATCACTGACCTTGCTAGCTTGAGTTGGCTCGAGAAATAATCAATTACAAAATTGATCTATTTGAAACAGTTTTGCATCCATGATAATTAATCCCTTGAATTCCCAATACTCGTAGCAAATTTCACCTTTCGACTGTTGTCAGCTCTGTTGTGTGCTTTGTGCTTTACCGCAATAGTTGTTGTGGATGACACTTAACCCATGCATGTGGATCACTAAAACCTCACTCAGAGTAAAAATAACAGACTGAAGTACTATCCATTTTTAGAAAAAAAAAAGATGCCTAATATTATTACAAGAAAAAGATTAAGAACAAGCTCTATTTTCAGATGGACACAAGAATCCAAGATGGTGGAAACTCAATGAAAAGGTCAAGACAGGCCTTTTCTATGGTTCTGCACATACAATTCCCTTGAAATTATTGTGACATATAGGAATGATAGCTAAATTCCTTATATGGAGTCTTAGAAGGTGTTTTTGCAATATTTTACTATGATTTATACAGCTTTTTTAAATGTCTAGCCAATCACAGAGCCAGATTAGTTAACTGAAAACAGACAACTAGCAAGTTTCCTGTTGTGTTGCCGCTGCTTTTATTGTTGTTACGGGTAGCGTTTCTTAATTACATTGTAGCATTCAAAATAATCGACTTATACAGTTGATTTATCAAGTATCAAAATTGTTGATTTTTAACCCCGCCATAGTCTCCTCCAAAATTGTTGAGACACTTCACTGTTTTCTTACCATCCTAATGTTGGTGTGCAAGATTTGGTGAGTTAACTGCGATAAAGAACAATGGGAGGAGACGGGCCAGTATTAAAAAAAAAAAAAAAAAAAAAAAAAAAAAGCGGGCGTGGAGGGAAATCGTTTCAAAATTCCTTTTCCTTTTCCTCCGCAGACTTGGCGAACGGGATGAGTGTCATAGAAAAACATGACAGAGTTTGTGACGCGAATGTCAAAAAGACATGGGAGACAGATGGAAATGGGTAAATAAAGAAAAAAAAAAAAAAAAAAAAAAAAAAAAAAAAAAACCGGTTGTTGAATTTAGTCTCTCTCGTAGCCGTTTTTCGGGGGTCTCGCAACGCACCCCCAAGAGAACGTTGCGTGACATCCAAGGGAGGGAGACTAGGTGGAAGTGTCCCAACCGTTTTTTTCTGAGACTGTAGCTCTTCCACTATGGACAGAAATATGTTTAAACTGCCTAAACATAATTCCTGGGGTTTACCTCGGTGTAAAAACAGTCTCAGGCAAAAAGGTAGTTGGGACACGTCCATAGCATGTGAGAAGCGATGAGATAGCTTACGGTTTCCCGAGCGACACTGTGACTGCTACTGGCGGCGATATGACTTGTGCTTTTCCTAACTTTCCGTCGAGGTCCTTTGAAGTATTTCATTGCATAAAAGCTACAATTTCCCGGGAAAGTAGAGCTCTGTTAATAGCTAAACAATAAACATTTGAACGATTGTCTGTTATTACCGCCAAAAATCACACTATCCCACATGAGCCCGCAGTATGCGAAATCTTGTCCAAAATAATCTCCATGTAACGGTCAGAAGCTGTCCTACTTAAACCAAACGCCTGACGCACAAAAACACCTTTCGCTTTCATTTCACGAGGAAGAGGGTCGTGAAAAAAAATTTTTATGGTCCGCTCACCGACGGATTCCGATTTTCATACTTTTGATCGGTTCAGGAATATCTTTGTTACAAGCAGCCGAGTCGCCGAGTTGAGTGATCTCGAGAAAAGAGCGTCACGCGACATCTGACACAATTGTATGCAAGTTTGCTGATGCAAGCGTATGGCGGTTTTTACAATGTATCAACGACGAAGCGGTAAGTTATGCTGGCATAGACATAAAAAGGTTACCTTAGGCCGGTATTAGTTGTATATTTGAAGGGTTTCCTTACGACGTTTGTGTTGATCGCCAAAAAAAGATAGATTCTGTAACATGGCCATGCGATTAAAATAAAGGGAAGCTGTTCAGTCTTTATTGTGCCTTTATAATGCCACAGCTTGTTTTAATTGAGAAGTTGTTTTTAAATTTTCAAGTGATGAAATAATTGGCTTTAAAAGTAGATGAACTTTTTTTTAGCCATTTCCTTTTATTTTTCTTAGTACAGGTTTGTACACATGTAAGCTTAAGTTAAACTCGCTTCTGCAGCTGGTTTCAAACCCTAGCTTGCAGCTTAATAGATTTTAATTAAACCGAGATAAAAATCAACATTTGATAATAAAAATTAGGGAAAGGAGTTTTACACAATGTTTTGATGTCACCATGACATCATTATCAAGATAAGAAACTAAAATCTGACTTAATATATTATACAGTTTGAAGTGACAAGGTAAACTAAAGAACAAAAGTAGCATGTTTACTTGTGTAAATGACAATGAAAATATGTTAAACAAACAGTTTTGACCAGATGGAATCTGATTGTGTATTTAAGCGTGGTTTCTTCTTCTGAGTAAAAAGCATTTTGAAAATCAGACGGTCTAATTTCCCATTGCACGTACTTCTTGTGTACGTAGAAGTTGCTGATAAAGTTGACTATAGTTTCTAGGTCGTGATCGTTCTTTTAGTGCTTTCTGATTGCCGATTGAGGGTGTTCATCAATGTGTTGGTGAACACCATCACCACAATAATTGTTAATCAACATCTGTACCTAAAATGCAATGTTTCACCCTACCTTGTGTGAACTTCCACTGTCTCCCTTCAGACAGCATTATGAACTATCTTTTACTTAAAATCTTGCAACTTAATACTTACTGTGTTTAAAATTATTCTAGTCAAAGACATTCTCTTTGCAGCCATTAATAGGGTTGTCACACAGTGCTCCTTCTTAATCCTGAGCATTGCATGACAACCCCATGATGTCATCAAAGGAGACCATAAACAACACAATTTGACAGATTGTTTTTTCTTTGCTTGTTTTTTAGGTAGATACATATGCCAGAACCTTGGCAATGGAACCAGAAATTACCAAACTTGGAAACTGATCTAACAGCAAAACATTTTTGTTGTGATGCCATATTGTGATGAATATCTAAGAATCATAGAAAAGCTCCAGGGAAAATATTACCAAATTGGAGAATTTTTTCTTTCAAGGGCATTCACCTCCCTATAGTATGTCTACTGCTACAGCATTATTACAGGAATTGGAATGGCTTAGACGGAATGGCCAGTCACAAAGCAATGTGGTGGGTATATCTGGACTAGTGAAATTCCTATACACTATACCTGTAACAACTATTTTCATTTCATATTTTCTCCAACCCTTTCTTATTCAAGACTTGTTAGTACTCTCGTGCACTCTTTCCCCACACGTGCTGTTGGTTATGGTCAGAGAATTTAAATTTTGCTTCGGCTCATATTACTACCCAGGCATGTATCTCCTTCATTTCACTTAATGTACATGTACATTAAGTAGCAAGAGTGACTAGTCGATGGGGAGCCACAGGGGAATTGGTGGTAGAATTCAAATTCCAGAGACGTAGTTGCAAGCTCTCCTTCCTTTTCCTGCCCTGCCACCAGAGTGCCCCGGATAGCTTGCTCGCAGGTTGTACCGATTCTCCATAGAGTTTGTGAAGTATGGAATACAAGACACGGACTAAAAAAGCTTCAAGTGACATTCAGTCTTTGTATCTTTTTTGATTCCTTTTTCTAGTTAGTTGAAGTGAGTGCAAACCACAACATTCTCTGCAGTGAAAAACTTTTTGTTCCCCATATTGACAAGAACAAGCCTATAACATGGACATTCAGAATAAAATCAAGTGTAAGTCAGTGTTACTGAATTAAAGACAGATACAGCTGTATACTTTCTGTAAGCCACTGATCAAATCTTGCCAAAAACTTGTTTTTGGCTCACTTCCGGGCGATTCCGAGCGAGTTTTAGATCTGCAATTGTTCTGTCTAGAGGACACTATGGAGAAATTCTGTGGAAGACTCACAGGAAAAACTCGCCACGGAAAACTCGCTGGAATAACCCTGAAACGGCCAAAATTGTTAAGAAGAAGGAAGAAGATCAGGAAGAAAAGGATTAGAAGAATCAAGTTGTTGCAAGTTGCGCGAATACTGACATCTGACTGGATAAAATTGAATGGGAATCACACCAAACACGGGTGTTACATCACTTGCTGCACAAAATAAGTTTGCCTTGGGCTGTTGAAATGCACAATTGAACAAATTTTCTTGCATAAAGCAGAACCACTCTCTACTTGCGCCTGCAACAACCTGATTTATCACAAGACATGTTTTATTCATGGGTTGCAAAACGTGCAGCATTGCTATTCATAGCCTGTTCCAGGCATTCAGATAGAAGAGTGCAGGCGAAATTGACATGGGGCGGGGAGGGGGGGGGAACGAGGGGAGGCAAGAGAGCGAAAGGGGAGTAGGAGGAGAAGGTTCTCTCACTATCATGCCAGTCTCCCCTTGTTTTTCCCCCATTTTCCATGGGTATGATTTAACTCGCTCCCCACCACCTGAATGCCGCCTCTATGTTTTGAAAGTGTGGAACAGGCTACACTATTCAAGTTAAGTTGTACGTTTTTGTTGCCCATTTTATCGTGCGTTTATAACCTTTGGATTTAAGCAATAGAAAACGTTTTCCGTGTTTGCATAGCCTGATATAAACATGAGAGGTGTTGGGAGAATTCTCTACAGTTATGCAAACCCAAGACGAAGACTTTCCCGCGAAAAAAGCAAAACTCTTTGTTATGGCACTGATTAAAAGAGAAATTCTTACCAGTCACAAAGTCTTGTACACGAAGTCTTGCACGCATAATCAGTTCTTGCTTTGCAAAAAGATGCTATTCAAAATACGCATTTTTCTCGCTTAAACTGTCAGCTTAAGCAAAAAAAATTGACACACCTTCTTTGTAAAGATTTTCCAAGTTTCAGCTGACAGAGGAATGGGTAAATAAAGTAAACTTGTCGAGTTTTGAACTTGAAAACTTTTTCAAATTCGTGCTTGCGTGATTAGCGTGCGAAAAGCAAAACATTTTGACGCCACAACCATGTTTACATACTCTCATGCAAACACTCCTCTCAGCCAATCAGAGCGTTCGTACTATCTTGGTTATTTTATAAATCATTATACTGAGGATGTCCTCTTTAACTGCTCTTTTGCCATTGCTATATTGCATGTTCTTTCAACAAAACAAAACGATAGACCATTTTACAGTTATCCTAGCCTTTGAGTGAATGTGAGGTTGAGGTTGACCTTGTTTTGATACAAACCTTCTTCTTTTTCTTATGGAAATTATGCTTAAAAAATACTAGTTAGCATAAGATCTAATGACATGATTTACATGATAAAGCAGGAAGGGTTGTATCAAAACAAGGTAGACTCCAGCCCCGTTTCCACCTTTAACGGTAAAATGGACTATTAAAAATAGTCCTTTGTACAAATATTCCCTTTATCCGCATGTTTTTAGAGCCGCGTTAGCAGATGGTGCAAGTTGCGTCGTGTATTTACTTTGGATCCATATCTTCCGGAGTACAGCATAGCCCAGGTTAAAGTTAGTGATACCCTGTGGACAAAATTACCCCAAGGAAGTCAGGAATGGGAATCAAACACAGGTTTTCGGATGGATACCTGCCAGATAACCCTCCGATTTGAATCTGCAGACTATGGTAGCTTTCAACAGCGACTTGTATTTGATTTTGCTGAGCGGCCTCTTGTGTTCAGGCAGCTTGAGGTGGTTGTTGCTCCTGAACAGAGCTTGATGCATACCATTCAATACCCGGTAGTGTGTGATGAAGACAGTGAGCTCTCGTGGCTGGCCAAATACAATATGATTCCCTTTGACCCTCAGAATTCACAAGGTAAATGTTGTTAAAATTATGACTGTCATGTAATAATTTACCGGTCTGTGATGTAATACATGTACAGGATATGTTAAGTTTACTATTTCTTTAATTTTGCCACTTGTAATTTACAAGCGTTACGGTCGCGCCTCTGACAATTTGGATGTCTTTGGTCGTGTCCTTATGCTAGAAGCTTTGGCTTGCATGTTTCGCATGCGATTTTCTTGACATTTTGTGCATTATAGCGGATTACGCATGAAATACTCGTAGATTTATACCCGTGGCCAGTACTTTCTCTTTGTTATCTGGGACTGTGTCCTCAAAGGAACCCTTCAGTGTGCGTCCTCGTTTCACACTTTCGCTTATTTCTGTAGAAGTATAATCTCATGATATACCCGTGTAAAAGCGCATTGCATTTTTTGTTCCAGAACAAAGGAGGTCTGAATTTCCTCTTCCTCCCAACCTGGGGACAGCATTAGAGTATGGCCATTTTGATCATCTTGATGATAACCTTACCCCTGAACAGTACAGGCAGCGTCTTCATTTGCTTCTTCATATTGAAGAGTTTGAGCGTCGCCGTCAGATGACAAGGTTCTCTCGGTGTTTTCTGTTCTTCAGTAATAATTTTTTAGCCTTACTGCGCTTTTCACAAACATGCGAATTCTGAAGTTCAAAAGCCAACTGACGATTGCGTTGTTCGCTGCCGTCAATCATCTTGACGGACCTCTTAGGAAACGAAACTTTACTCTAACGGGTTCAAGGTCATGCTTTGTGATTCGTGATTGGTGGATTTCGATCCGTTATGTGTGTTTCTGTGTTTCAAGGTTCGTTGCTTGTGATCGTAATTATGATTGACGGCAGCGAAAAAGGCAATTGTGAAGGCGGTTTTTGAACTTTAGAGTTCGCATGTTTCTGAAAAGCGCAGTAATTGTAACTGAACGAATAGGATATCTGCATGGGTAAATTATTAGACGCACTGTTAACAAATTTCTCCTGGCAGCATAAAAGTAGACCTTCAGTCCAGTCAAAGTTTTTGCACATTGAAGACCGTTCCATGTGATGCAGCTAGCATTGGCAAAGGCTCTCTGATCAAGAGTTTTAAAGGAACGCTCAGCGAGTAGGAAAGCACTAAGAACGTGACCATCACTGTTGTGACGATTGGTGCTTTATTAACATTGTTAAATTATGTAACGTGAACACTACTGCAGAGTCCTATAAGGCATAGATTGCATTGCTGATTATACCACAATTTATTTCACTTGCACTGGATGATTAATGTGCGACTGATATGCAAAGAGGCGAGAGATTCGCCCGTTATACGGGCGGACACAAAACACCTTCTGATTTTCGCCATTTTTTGCCGGTATAGTATTAATTTCTCCCGTGTCGATCAATAAAGGGAAAGCAGATTTACAGTGTGTAATGTAATGGAGAAACAAGTGTTACAGTCTCGATAATTTGAATATTCCTTGTAATCCCTGTTGCTATGTTTCGGTTTATTTCCTTCAGGCTTACAATTCACTGCTCTAATTTGCTGTACTGCCTCCAGGCATGTGCCACCGATCCTTCGCAACTTACTATTGTCCTGCCAATCGAGGAGGACCTCATGGATGATGCCAACTTGTTAATCAGTCGTGGAGGTTATGCCCTCTTGCGAATCCAGCCACATGACTCCCCGATTCCAGTATTGTATGAAGTTGTGGTAGAGAGCTTGAGAAAGAATCGCGTTTTGTTACGTGCCAGCAGCGATCTCCAACAAGTGTTGAAATCAAGAAGACCTCTTCCCGCGTCACTGTGCTTTCGTTTTGTTGATACATACCAGCATATGCATTGGGCTGCAGAACGTGTGAGTCTTGAAGTGGTATTCCCTACAGTACCGCAAGGAAACTCAAAACAGAGGCCCTTTGCCTCTGATAGCCGTCACCTGAACGAATTGCAAAACTATGCCTTAAAGCAGATGTTACTGCCCAATGCTGGACCACCGCTGCTGATTCTTGGGCCGTTTGGGACAGGGAAAACCAGAACTATCGCTGAAGCAATGAAACAGTTAATCACCATCCAGCTGAACAATCACTCTGTAGACTTCAGAATCCTTCTATGCACGCATTCAAACAGCGCTGCCGATCACTACATCAAAAGCTACCTCCATCCTTTCTTGACTCGATCACAGATCCCGCATTCACGGTTCAAGCCGCTACGCATTTGCTGGGAGAACCGTTTTGTAACCACGGTCTCCGATGAGGTGTTACAGTACTGCCTTCTGGACATGCACACCGGTAAGTTTGCCATTCCCACCGTGGAGACGTTAAGGAGACATCGAATCGTGGTAACCACTCTGGTGACGGCTGCATCGATCGCTCAGCTGGATCTTCCAGCTGGATTTTTCACGCACATCTTCATTGATGAAGCTGCGCAGGCCATGGAAGCTGAAACCATCATCCCTCTCTACTTGGCTGGACGTAACACTCAAATAGTCCTGGCTGGAGATCATCTGCAGGTATTTGCTTTCAACTTAAACCCTCAGAATCTGTTAAATGTAGTGAATACAGTGATGAAATGAAAATGAAGAAATGATTGTCGCAGTGAACGCAATTTATGCAATTGCGTAAAGAAGCCTGAAATATTGATGACTTATGGTAATCATAGCGCGTCATTGCTTATAGTTTTGCTTTTTTTATTTTTTTGGTGTTGTTGTGATGTTGTTTTTTCTTGACGCAACTCACAAGATTGTTGCTTTAAGAGTCTTACTTTATCAGGAGAATATATACATGTGTAATTTTCGTAAGTTTGCGAAAACAATGGTGGAAATATGGCTTATTCGATCCAGAGTTTTCTCAGCTTGGCATACTTGTTTTCTTTTGTGTTGTTTTAGCTCAGTCCTCCCGTGATGTCGACCGTTTCTCGCCAGCTTGGTCTTGGTCGTCCTCTTCTCGTGCGGCTGCATGCAATGTACCCTGCCATATCAAAGTGGAAAGTTATGTTACTGCAGAACTACCGTGCTTATGACGACATAGTAGAAGTGCCTTCTCATCTGTTTTACCAAGACACGCTTGTTGCCAAGTTGAAGCGTCCGTCCAGTTTGCATTATTCTGTTGTGTTCTACGGAGTACACGGGCAGGAAGAGATAGCAGATGAACCGCCCTCGTTTTTGAACAGGGGAGAAGCTGCAGAAGTTACCGACCGCGTGGAAGAATTGATAGCTAACTGGCCGTCGGAGGTCTGGGGAGAAGCTTCTCCATCACGAATATGTGTCTTAGCACCTTACCCTCCTCAGGTAAAGACCCCATTCTTTTCTAAAAAGTGTTTTCGAACCGGAATTAAATAATACCAAAGAAACGAATTGCTGTAGGTAGTTTATGTTGACAAATCACACTTAGAGATCTGCAAGTTAAAGTCAGTCATCTGACAACGACTTGCCCAACCATAATTTGATAAGGACTGAAGAAATCTGTCCCACACGTGTAGTCGGACAAAATAATCAGACACATCATATACTAAAGACTATCATAAAGTAAGTAAAGATTTGCATAGTTATTACAAAAAATGGAATTCAACCCAATCTGTGTGTGGCAACTTTTTTGAACTGCCGATAAAAAAGGTGACGTGATCAAACATAATATTGCTGTTCATTTTTTTTGTCAGGTGCGAGAAATCAGGAGACTTCTTCGTTCAAAGTCTTTAGGAGAGGTCCAAGTGGAGGGTGTGAATAATGTCCAAGGTGAGAACAGTTCGAAATCACAATGTGCTTAATGAAGAGAACAACGTACAGTAACTCGGGGCCTCAATAAAAATCACTCTTTGTGAAGTGAGTTCCCTGTATGAAGATTGCTTATAGTATAACAACACTGGGTTTCTGACTTCTCGAAACCAGAGAGGTCGGGTTTGTTTAGACAGGGTCAACAGTCATCACTTTCTTTTTTTGTTAATTAAGTGTTTATGCTTTTGTTTTAGGTCTAGAGTTTGATATACTATTCATCAGCACAGTGCGAACCAACAAACTCAACAAAGGTTATGTTGCAAATCAAAAGAATCTGGGATTTCTGTCTGACAGCAAATTGTTAAACACAGCCATCACCAGAGCTCGGTATCGACTTGTAGTCATCGGTGATCCTGTTGCTCTGTGTTCAATGGGAGAGTGCAGGGTGTGTTGGAAATCAATTTTAAGCAAGTGCAATAGTAATGGGACATTTCACTATCGTCTTCCGTTTGACACCCTTGCTAGAATGACCAAGGAAGCCAAAAGTAACGCATGTCAGAATGGAATATTCGATGCATCCATTCCTTGTAATAATATTGTGAATTCAATACCAGCCTCACAAGCACCTATTCCACCCCAGCAGTTCCCCGGCCATTTCGCTGGGTTTCCTTTCATGGAAATGCCGCACAATAACGCTCATCTTTCAAGCAGGCCTCCGGTATTTATTGGCAGTCCTGGTCCTGTAGTTTTTCCAAGGCACTCCCTGCCACTGTCAGTGCATTCTCTCCCTGCTATTCGAAACCCGTTTCAGCAATCTGCCTTGATTAATGGACTTACACCTATTGGACCTCTTCCACAAGGAATAGGCCTGTCATGTCCGGTTACTCCATGGTCCTCCCACCCACAGTTCGCGCAAAATACCACACCTGTGAGGTCGCCATTATTCGCAGACCAACAGTTGGTTCAAAATCCCTCTCTTGGTAGTGTGTTAGGCGCTGAACAGCGGATACGTCAAAATACTAGCCGCGTCGAGACAACATATAAAGACCCACAACGACTACAACCACAGCTTCAACCACCAGCTACATTTCTCATGCGTCAGCAACCTCCAAACGTCTCCTCTGTAGGGACATTAGCCAGTCAGCAACAGCAAGTACCAAAGACTCCTTCCACATCGAAAAAGGAGTCCACACTGGTCACACCAGTTTCAGGTACTGCAACTGTTGTTCCATCACATTTGAGCTATGCAAGCCTTAGGGAGTCAGAAATAAGGCGGCAAAACGAACCAGAGAGTCAGCGAAGCAAATCGGCCCAACATCTCATTGTCGTGAATGAATCACAAAGGGAACTCCTTTTATCACTCGAATCTAGCTTGCAAAATAGTCAAGAGATGGTGACAAGAGTAAAGGATCTTATTGCCAGACTTCAAATATCGTTTAGTTCCCCTGCTAACCAGAGTCTTCAAAAAAATCTCGAAGACCAAATGAACATCCTAGAGAAAGAAGTTGATTTAATCCAGCGGCATGTCGAGCTGCATAGCGCTTTATCAAGTCAACTTAGGATTGAAGACTGGCAAAATGGTGATAGCAGTGAAATGCAGTCGTCATGTACAGACCCCTCCAGTCTGAATGAAATGGAGGAAGATAACGGTGACTCTGACGCTGAGGAGTGGTTCAGCGCCCAACACAGAGATCCCATAGTGCAAGATTATATCAAGGCGTTCGAGATGTTGACTTCTAGAACTGACTCTACTACCGAAGAAGGTTTTTTTCTTCCCGACGAAGCAGAGACCGGCAGACATCCTGGCACCTCTTCACTTGTTTTAGAGAGCTCCTTGGCCACTCCCATTGATAGTGAGGAGGTTTCTCCTTTACGGGGATGGGTTTTGCAACCCAGCGAGGCCACAGTTTATATTGAGAGTTACTCCATCAACGAAGAATACCTAGGAGAAGAAGAAGCCCGATCAAAACTTCAAACTGGTGAACTTGTGGCTTGCCAATTACAAATTGACGCCTTCAGCGACGGTAATACGGCAACAGCAAAAGTTTGCGATCCAAACAGTCACGACATCCACATCGGTAGTAGAGCTGACATAAACAGGGCATTTAATGGAGATAAAGTCGCCGTGGAAGTTTTTGACAACAACAAACAAGGCTCAAGCATACCCCAGGGAAAGGTAAAGGCAATACTGAAGGAAAACCACCCCAGAAAAGTTGTTTGCAAGATCGACAATTTTGATAGGAACATGATGACGCCTATCGACAGAGGCAACTCAAAGTTTGTTATCCTGCAGAGTAAAGACCACCAAGGCCAAACTGGCGTTGCCGTGTTTGTTATGAAGGATGGCAGAATACAGTTCAAGAGTTTTGTGACAGAGACTGAAGGGAAATTGTTTCTTGTGCAACTGATGAAATGGGGAGCAAGCTACAGGTACCCACTTGGCTTTGTTGTACACTATTTTCAAGAAGGCGGGGATCCCCTTAAAGCCATTTCAATCTTACTGGCTGAGCACGGAGTTCACAAGCAACACCCAAAGAAAATCCATAATGAGGCCAAAAAGGATTTTCCCCCAAAATGGAAGATTCCCATGTCAGAGCGCGTCAAGCGGATAAAGTTTCCTGAGGTGTTCAGCGTTGATTCTGCTTCTTGTGTCGAAGTCGATGATGCTTTGAGCGTTTGTTGGGAACATGATGGAACTTACAAGGTGGGTGTCCACATCGCAGATGTCTCCTTCTTTGTCGCCAAAAATTCTCTGTTGGACAAGGCTGCTATGTTCCATGGAGCCTCATTGTACGGTGGAACAGAGAGAGGTTTCCATAGCCCCATGCTGCCATCCCGTGTTGGTACAGATCTTTGTAGTTTGCTACCAAACGAAGAAAAGCTGGCTCTTTCAGTAGTGTTCCATTTAAATGAAGATGGACTAGAAGTTGGCTTACCTGACATTCAGCGAAGCATTGTCACATCGTGCTGTAAGTTAAACTACGATCAGTGTCAAGATGTTATTGATGGGAAAAGGCTTGATGGTGTCGCCGAGAGCGTTCAAAAAGGTATTGGTATCCTTGGGCAACTTTCATTCAAAATGTGGACAAGAAGAGTTCGTCAAGGGTATGTCGCCTTCGATGCTGCTTTTGGGAAACCTAATGCTTGGTCCTCTTCAAAAATGGTGGAAGAGTTTATGTATCATACTAACCGTGCAGTAGCCGAGCGCCTTTTCCAAAGCCCCCTTGCTAAGAAGATCGTGCCGCTGCGTCGACAACTTCCTCCTAAAACACATTTTCTGCGTTATATATATGAATCGTGCATTGAGAAAGGTATGCAACCAGACTACTTCTTAACCTTGAAATGCCTAACAAGATGTTCCAATGGTGAATCAGTCTGCGGATCTGACGACTCTATTAGTATCGATTTAAAGACATGGGAAAAGATATCTGCTGCTCTGGATGACAAAGACCTAGCCAAGGTAACTCTTTCCATTCTACAGCATGATAACACCTCCGGTGTTGGTAAAATACTGGCTCAGCTGAAATCTCGTCAGGAACATAGTGAATATGTCGCGTCTTCCAATCTTTCAGCCGAAATGCAAAGCCATTTTGGCCTTAATGCAGCATCGTATACCCACTTCACGTCTCCTATTCGCCGTTACATAGATCTCGTTGTTCACCGCATCTTGTTAGCGGTTTTGGATGGTGTAGAAATGCCCTATAACGAAGAGCAAGCGCAGAGCATTTGCGAGCATTGTACGATGATGTCCGCTCGGATTGATGCTTTTGAAAAACAGTTAGCTGCAGTATCTAGGGCGGATGCACTACGAAAGGATTCGAAATGGAGGGTGGCTAAGGTGGAGTCACTTTCTCCTGAAAACCTGCTTCTTGGAGGGGATGAGGTTGATCACATCGGTTTCTTCTATCGAAGCGTCAACATCCACGATTGTAAACCATCTTCCAGGGAGTGGCTTGAGGAAGAGGAAGAATTGGTTTTGAGCTGGAATGTTTTGGAGATCAATGTGACAGGCCAAGAAACAGGAGGATATTCGGGCCAAGGAGATGATCTCTTCGGCGGACCCTCGTCTTCTTTAGAACTGGAACCTTCTTCGGGTGTTACTAGACAGTTTTTGGAAATCCCCCAAGAGTTTTGGACGAAATTTTTACAGGGCCTTCGTGATGAAGACCTTCTGGAAATGAACAGACAAAGGCAAATGATTGATTCAAATGCTGTAGTCAGTTTCAACAAGACAACTCCAAGCACGTATGGTAATTTTGCTCCTGAAGAATCGATTGCTATGAGTTCCATTGCGCCTCTTCAAGTTATTAACGCACATACCAAGTTTTACCGCAAGCGAGACACAATTCCCGTTTCTTTGGGCGCTGAAATGAACAGAGGATTACTTAGGCCCAGTATACTGGCTGTAAAATTCTCTGATGCAATAGTGTGCTGCATGCGACATAGGCGTCATCCTTCTAAATCGTTTGGTGTTTCCGCGTTGACGGCTACCAAGGCAACCTACGCAGGCGTATGGGACTATCAGTCGGTGATGCTTCCGCTACTGGAATGCGAAGCTTCTACGGCTAGTGTCAACTCAGATGCCGCCATTCAAATCATCCTGCATAATGTCTCTGTCCAGTGGAATGCCAGTAAGTTTGCAACGCGTTAGCCTGAGAAAACAGCCGACATTTGACGAGGCCATCACCGATTTTGCCACAAAATGGCGTCTGAGGAACGAGTACAGAAAAATCCTTGGTGATGACATGTCACTGCTCAGATCTGGGTAGTGCTTCTGACTTGTTGAAGCAAATTTCCCAGGGGCCAGGACCAATCAGAAGCACTACCCAAATCTGGGTAGTGATACTTCATCAGTCTGGAATTTCTGGGTTTGGGGGAGACTAGTAGTGGCGTCGTCAACTGTTGGCCATTTTCTCATGCTGTTCACAAGTAAGACATATTTTGACTGTAAAACTATAAACGCGTGCAGACTTCAAGTCTCTGTCTGCATTTGCAAATAGATTTGACCAACACAGGACCCTTTTCTGAAAAACAATTGAACTGTGTAAAATATCAGTGTTACCTTAATTAAATCTTGGAAACAAAAAATAGTATCTGGTATCTGTGGTAATGAATGAAGAAACACTGTATGTTAGTAAACTATATTTCTTTGAAATAATAAATTAGTGCAGTGTTTATAATCCTTTTCGATGGTTACAGTTGTGTCCAAATTGAAGGACGAATATCATAGTGTCAGCCTCTACCAAAGTACAGTAAGCCGCTGAAGCTAAACATTACCCAGAAAACAATAAATAGCCCTTCATACGCGTCATTCCGTTAGTGAAAATTCCACGTGCTTTTCAATCACAGATGCAGGCGAGTTCACCTTACCAACGGCTTTGTGTGTCTGCCATGGTTTGCAGCTTTGCTGCGGAGACTTTCTTTGTCTCCGAAGCGCCGTGTCTCCTGGAATTTTCCACTGTCGTGTCGCTGAAGTTGACAGAAAGCAAGACAGAGAATTAATTCGCGTCAGCCTGGTGGACTTTCCAGAGGGTTTCTCCGTTGATCAATTGAATAATGGTGCCAGCCTATTTAGCCTTGAAGTCATTGCTCAGGGCCAAGCCTTCCGCCGTATGATAAGTAAGAACAGGCACTTTAAATATTGTATTAGATCTAGTTTTAGTGAATTTTAAGCGTTAGACCTTCCTGTTAGCCTTCGGTTTGGCGTTTATAACGGGTTGTGGCACGAAATAAGAGCGAGGGGTATCTTACTTTTTTGTTTGTTTTGTTTTTGTATGTATGTTTTTCTTTTCTCTCTCTCGCTGTCTTCGTTATTAGTCTGCACTTTTACCTTCTCCTTTTCGTACCTTAAATTCAGTTCCTCTGGCTAGTCATTACTAAAGAAGAAAACCTAACGAACCAGTAGAAATTCGAAGATAAATCGTTTTGCCTGGGCATAGCTCCTAGTTCGAGCGCCCGAGATTTACTTTTCTTTTACTCCAACCGATCGCAAAGCAACTACCACATTCTTTGAACAGATATTTCAAAGCAGCCTCACTTTAAGTTAACTAAAGTTAATCTACTTTTACTCTTTGCTTAAAGCTGCTGTGAAGAGTCTTGGCAATGCACCAGAGCTCATTAGAGGTATATTTTTACGAAGGGACTTGCCTTCGTACCTGGCACACAACCCAAGGTTTAAAGGACAAAGAAGAGAGGAGAGCAAGACCCACGTGACCCTTAACCCTGGACAGGAAGAAGCGGTAAACTTGGCCTTGACATCTCCACTGACGCTTATTCAAGGACCACCAGGTAAGTGTAGTTGTACTCTTCTACAATCAAACATGTAGAGAGCATTTCCCATGACGTTACGGCGGCCATATTGGTGTTCCAAAACAATGAAACGGCTGCCATGATGGTATTTCAAACCAATGCTGTGGGATTTGAACGTTTTCTTTGTTCCAATCAATTTTCATCGATGCTGGCCATGTTAGTGAGAACGCTCTATGAATTAAAAGGCTGTGCTCTAAAGAAAACTGAAGGGAGACTGATGCTCTGAAATTATAAAATCTAGAGTGCCCTGCATTACCCTGCGAACAGAGGCCCCTCGATCTTCCTAGTAAGGTCTAAGGGCCTCAGCTCGTAGGGTAGCGCAGCATATTATTTGTATCAAAAGCCATTCTTCACTTGTGCCTCTTTTTTTTTGCTGCCGTCGCCGTCGTCATTGCTAAAACAGTCTAGTTTTTGTTTGTTCTTCTTACTGCCTTGACGAGTGCCGTGTTGCTTGTGTCTTTCAGGTACAGGAAAGACTCTGACGGGCGTTGAGTTAGCGCGCCAGTTTGTAGCCTTGAACAAAAGAGAAGGAACTGGAGGACAAGTTCTTCTCTGTGCCCCGTCCAACCACGCGGTGGATGTGGCTGCAAGTGGGTGTTTATTTTCACAAATTATATTTAATAATAATAATGATAATGATAATGATAATGATAATGATAATGATAATGATAATGATAATGATAATGATAATGATAATGATAATGATAATGATAATAATAATAATAATAATGTACACTTATATAGCGCTTTTCTCTTAGTGATCCAAAGTGCTTTACAATCAGCAAATACTTAGAAAACAAATAATTCAAATACAACATAACAGGATTTAAAACCCCAACTGGCAGGAGGCAACCAGTTGGCTATTTACAAGTGTGGCCGAGGATTTCAACTCGGGACGAACGAGAACAAATCCAGCAAGTCGCCAGAGCGGGACTCGAACCCGGGACCGCCGGATTGCGAGTGCGACGCACTGACCACTCGGCCACGCTGCCTTATTTGAGAACAAATGCTCGCCATAACATATTGTGGGGTGGAGGACCTAAAATGTGTTAGCCTAAGATCGAAGGAATTCACCCCCACAATCTGACAAATATCCTCGTACTTAACGTTTAAAGGTATGCGCGGCAGAAAAAAAAGTGGAGGTGTTCTGCCCTTAACTAAGGCCTCTTTTTTGGGATTGTGGTCCTTTAATAGGATACCCATAAGCACAACTGTTCAGATGTGATGGAAACAAAATAAAAGAAGCCAGTTCTAGGCCCATTTTGCGATATAGGTTACCCCTTAAACAGGGTCTCATTTTTCGTTACTGGGGCGTAATATAAAGGGTGTTCATTTTTAAATAATTTCCCTTAACTAGGGTTAGGGCTTTGGGCTATAGGTCTCCGATATCCATCAACCAGGGGAAGAGTTCTAGTTTTTTTTTTTTTTTTCAAATGGTGACACCAGAGGACTTGTGTTCAAAGTTAGAACTAAATTATGTAAGTCTGTGTTAGACCCTGTAGTGGTTGAAATAGTATGGTAAAAGCTGGTGATTTCTCTTTTCTAATTGGTAGGAATGCTTCAAGCAGTACCAGATGTGAAGGTTCTACGAGTGTACGGCAGAACAATCGAAGATCAGACGTTTAAACACTCACTGAGAACTACTCTGTGGACTTCGCAGAGCGTCATGGATACAGCTTGCCAAGATATCGCTCTGCATTTCCGCATCCGAGAGTCAAGCAATCCCTACTCTTCAAGGATTGCAACCGCCGAAGAGGCAATTTCGCGACTGAAAAAGAAACCTACTTCTCATTGGTTAGTGAGCAACCCGCACTAGCTCGTTCCATAATAATTCCCGCCCTTAGCAATCCCCTGTTAATGACTGGTATGCCGAGGGATAACGACTTCGAGATACTGTAAATTCTGTGACCCGTAAAATCGCGACTTGATTGACCAATCAGGTCAATAAACAGAGTTTGATACAATCTACTGGTGAGACAACTCACTTTGACTCTGAAGATGACTGCTGCACAGGTTGTCCAAATGTCAGTCACTGTCAACAGCAGTCCTATTCAGGACTACATTCACCCAGACGGTCATATTATTCCTCAACGAGCAAAGAAAGTCATGTCCGATAGCCCGTGGCTAATGGATTTTGTAATTAAGTTGCCCTACGGGCAAGTGAAGTTTTTTCCGGGGACATTCAAATTACAGAAGACGTGTTATCAGTCCTGCTAGTCCAAATCTTTTCGGATTAGTTAGAATGACTCTTGGGCTTGTATGTGCTAGCTACAACTTTCCTGAGGTGCAAGCTGTAAAACTGACTTTCTTTTCTCCCTACAGCTAGTTATGAAATGACTCCTGAGCTCAAACCGTCCACCGTTTTAAACAACTAATATCTTGTCTTGTTTGCAGCTCCACCTCTGGGATAGATCAAGAGAGAGAAAGAGACGAGCTGTGTCGTGTGATCGAGGAGCTTCGCGATGCAATGGACGAAGCTGAAAAATACGAAATCAGCCAAAATGGAACCGAAGTGATCTTATGCACGTGCATAGAGGCTGGTGCGAAACGTGTTAAACGTTATGCACGTATTAGTCACGTGGTTATAGATGAAGCGAGCATGTGCTTAGAGGCGGAAACCTTAGTGGCCCTCGCTTCAGCTGGTCAGAGACTGCAGCAAGTGGTACTACTCGGTGATCACAAGCAACTGGGTGCTGTCATCACGTGCTCAGCTCCACGAAGGCTTGGTCTTGGCAAGTCTTTGTTTGAAGTGTTGTTTGACAAGCCTGTTGCTGGAAAGGCTTACTCG